TTTTATATTACTTTTAAAATTATTTTGCTCTGTAACTAGGACAGTTACTGTAAATTCCTTAGCCTAAATTACACAATCTTTAGTACCAGAACCCCCTTAAAACTTTTTGTTCTGTGAATCAGTGTGTACTGTAGTTTAATCGTTCACTGTAACAACCTCATTCAATAAGTTTCAAATCAAACTCTACTACCACAGACAATAGACCATTCTGTGCTTAGTGTTTTCTGTGCTGTGTTAGTCTGTGCTTATAAGTACTAGCGATAACTTGCATGATTACTTCATCTGCATTGTTGATTGCATAGCAACAACTATAACCTCAAAACTCAATTATTGTACTATCAATGTTTTCGTCGGTTACCTAACTGTTTTTGGTGGAGCAAAATGCTACTCGTTGGAACATTGTATTTGATTTTTCCTACAGTTACCTAATGTACATGTTCTCTCATTGATTTTAGAAAGCAAAGTGTCCAATACGCTCACCCGTGAGACAATGTTAACATTGTCTCACTCCAGATTTGCAACGTGAAGGCACGAAATAGTGAGCGCGTAACATGCAGACAATGTCGTATGCGCGCGAATTACGTTGGCAGCCCTTGCTGTAAATCAGCTGGTCAGCTGTTGTACTGTTGTATCATTAAATGTCATATTAAAAGTTCACTTCTGTGTAAAAATGTGTTACGTTTCTTTACCAATTTATTTGTTTTATGGTAACTGTAGGAAATAGTTATTTTCCTACAGTTACCTAACAATGTACATGTTCTCTCACTGATTTGAGAAAGCAAAGTGACCACAATTCGCTCATCAGTGAGACAATGTTAACATTGTCTCACTCTAATTACTTTGTCTCACTCCAGATTTGCAACGTGAAGGCACGAAATAGTGAGCGCGTAACATGCAGGCAACGTCGTATGCGCGCGAAATACGTTGGCAGCACTGCCTGTAAATCAGCTGGTCAGCTGTTGTACTTTTGTATTTGTCACTTCACATTAAATGTTATATTAAAAGTTCACTTCTGTGTAAAAATAGGTTATGTTTCTTCACCAATTTATTTGTTTTATGGTAACTGTAGGAAAAGTATAATGTGCAACTCGAGTTCAAAGTACAATTGCCTCACTCGAGAAACCATTCCTCACGACCATTATTCATTGTAAGGACAATGAATAAGGATTTCTCTCGAGTGAGTCAATTGCTCACTTTTCTCACTAGTTGCACAAATAACTATTTCTCAACTAGTGAGCAAAGGGAGCAATTGACTCACTCGAGAGAGGAATGGTTTCTCTAGTGAGGAAATTGCACTTTGCACTCGAATTGCACATTATATTTTTGTTTGTTGTTTTGCACATTACATTATTTATAATGTTAACATTGTGTCACTGATGAGCGAATTGGCCACTTTGCTTTCTCAAATCAGTGTGAGAACATGTACATTATTAGGTACCTGTAGGAAAAATATAATATGCAACTCGAGTGCAAAGTGCAATTGTTCACTTTGCTCTCTAATTGCACAAATAACTATTTCTCATCTTGTAATAACATAAAGTGCTTGTAAATAGATGCATGTTGTCTGGGATGCTGGATGTATTCAAAGTATTAACAATAACGAATTAATGCTTGGGTCAAACATCTACAGGAAGGGGACTTAAGAAATAAAAAATAAAATATGTTAGCTGGGTGACTAAAGTTTAAAGTTAAAATATTATTGGGATTGAAAATCTGATTATTTTGTTTTCAAGTTACAAAAAAATGTATGATCTCTTTGTATATACTGTAATCTAAATTATTGAACACCTCAATAAATAATATTGGAACCATTTGGAACTTAAGTTTATTTAGAATCTTCAACAGGCTTTTGAGAACCAGTTATTGTTCAATAAACACTCCTTTAAATTGCAAGAAGATTAAAAACCATGTCACTTTAACACTGAAATGTTTACTAACCATGTAATAATGTTATCTGTAAACAATACAGTTTTTGTATACATTTTTCGTACATTTTAAATTTCTCAAAATGGTCCTTCGCAATATCAACAAATTCACTAGTTGAAGAAAATACATGAAAATCCAACAATGAAATAATTTAATATAACCATTACTAACGTACTCCATGCTACCATGCTATGTTGTTAAATTTATTATTCTCCTTACCTACAAAACACAAACACATGTTTTAAAAAACACAAATTATTAACTCCCTTTACTTTCTGAACTTCAGTTGCTTGGAAGGTATTGTAATTTTGTTAGTGAATTACTGAAATTTGTTATGTGAGTATAAGATTTAATACAAGTAGATAGTAAATGATATTTTAGGTGTTCATTTTATAGCCATCATGTTGAAAATAGTTAACAGATTTGTGTGAAAAGTAACGAATTTCACAATTTGAGTGTAGACATCTAATTGTTCAACAATGTAATACAAATCTTTAAAGTGTTATGGTAGCCTAAAACCGATCTATTTGTTAATCTGTACTAAAATTTAGGGGATGTCTGTCTGTCTTCTCTATTTACGTGAAAATAAAACCAATCTACCAGCCTAAGTGGAAACATAGTATGTAGCAACAGCAACCCTAGCCTTAAGGAAGAATCATGAACTAGGGGAAGTTATACAAACCTGATGTGTGTGGATAAAGAGGGAATGGAGCCTGTTTGTAAATTTTAAAGCAAAATTGTGGGTCTTAAGGCGATTTGAGCTTTTAAAACCTCTTATTTCGATTCATTACGGTCCATAGGAAAATGTAAGAAATTAATTATTTTATGAGAATTTCAGGGGGTGGTGGAGCACATTTCAGCACCCCCCCTGGCTATGCCCTTGCGAAAAACAATTCAACAAAAGAAGATACATAAGTGAAATTCATAGAAGTTACTCTATCTAGTAATGTTAAAGGTTAGTGATTGCATATTATCCACTCAATTCAGATTGCAAAGTTTGCTCATGATAAAACTGTAACATTCAGAACAGATTAGCTTTCAATAAAGAATTTTGCAAACAGAAAAGTCAATAACACAAATGAACTTGATAGTGGGGGTCAGGGACTATGAAAAATGTGACTTCTATCACGTTTAAACACTAAGCCGTAAAATATACCATAGGCCTAACTATTTCAAACTAAGGTTTTGCCCTTCTTTTTTAGAGAGAAATCATGTTTTTAAATTAATCTATGGCCGTATTAGGCTATAAACCCTGGTATGTATCAAACGACAATTTAAAATTTAAAAATAAAATTTCTTAATTTAGCTTATCGTTTAAAACTTTCTCTTTCTGTGTTAAAACTAACCCCTCCCCCCTTAAAATTTAAAAATATTAGGCTAACTAAAATCACAGGTGGACTAGATGTTGTTCAGCATAACATAAGGTGTGCTTCAGTAGAAATTCCTGCCCCTGTCTCCAAAAGGAGGGAAATTTAAGTTTGAGTTTTTTATGGGGTTGTAAAAAATATTGAAAACACCAAATGAACAATGTTTAACATACCTTGATTTTATCCATTATGTCATATACCTACCTTAAAAAATATACTCACAGCAAAAAATACAATACCGGTATACAATCTTTGAAAACAAAAATCCTCCGCTCAACATTGCAAAAAATATACAAAAAAGAAAAATCAGAAACAAAAATATTGGACTATATTTTTATGAGAGAAAAACAAATTGGGTTAGTTTGGTCATAGAAAAATTATGGGTGGATAGAAAGTGGCTAAAATTTGTTTCTAGAGAGACAAATTTTGTGAAAAGTGTATAGTTTGAAAATGTAATTCTTCAAAATAATTGTTAAAAAAGTGCTGAAAGGAAAACACAAGTTCTGGAAGTGAAAAGATGGATCTTTAGCTAGAGATGCAAGAATTGATCATGTCTATAAATGCACTTACAGGCTGCAGCTGCCAAATCAAAGATAGATAATGATCAATTGGAGGCCGGTTGGACACTTTATCAAAAAAGATCTTTGAAGATGAACATGAAAAATACAAATATTTTTCTTCTACTAAATTTGCTACGGTCCTGGAACATGCTGGAGAATGGATATGAAGTATAAAATAACACACACATTTATGCATATTATACGTGTTTGTTTACATCATTGACTAATGGATAATGAAGTAGGTATCCTGTCTATGGACCAGCTGTCGCAAATTTCTTATTGAGAAAGAAAATAGTTGTGTGGGCCAGTCACAGAATGTACTAGTGTCTAAAATTCTATTTCTAACTTATTTTTTGTTGCTGGTATGGTTCATAAAAAGTTGCTATAGCAAATATGTCGTTCCATCAGTTCGACTTGATAAAAAGGTTTGTGTATTCGACAGAAATTAGTAATTTAGATCAGACAAATTTGTCAGTGGCTCTCATCAACTACGATTTTAATTTTAAAGTTGCAAAAAAACTAGAATGGGATGGAATGTCTAGCTGTATTAATAGTCAAAGGTTACATAAATATATTATTCATACACTCTAGTAATAAGTACGAAATCCATCTATAAGTTGATGATCAAGGAAAATTTGAAATAGAGTTTCAGTAACTCTGCCTTTGGGAGGAGTTTGTTAAAAATTCTGTAATTGGTGTTTGTAATGCGATACATGACACACATGACAAAATGTAAGAGAATATTTTCCTTTCTGTGTATATTTAACAGTACAATGAATAAACACTATAACAGTGCTAAACTTATGCTTTATTCTGTGTAGTCTTTGTGTATTTTATTTACCCAAACAAAATGCTAAAATTAATTTTAAAACCATTCAAAAAATTTCACAAAGCCCCATGAGACCTACTTACACTTCATTCAGTTATTCATTTTTGATGCATAACAAACTAAACTTAAAAGAGGTCACCTTACACCTTGAACTTCCACCTTTCATTGAATCCAAATTGCCGAAACCGTGTCATACCACAAGTTACATAAAAGCACCATGAATTCAAACAACCCAGTATTCCACACTCTTTGTCAGTGGTCCTCAGCAAAAACTTATCTCTTGGTCAGCAGCTGGCAATCACGTGTTGATTGCTGATAGCTTGTGCTTCTGCAGCGCAACTGTTCAAAAGTCAGTTGCTCTCCGGTCTTGTCCCAGACAACTCGTCTCTCACTTTACGGGGGATTGACATTGCTTTCGCTCTTGCAATAAAGGTACTGTAATTTACTTTGTATACAACTTGAGAATGGTTTTAAAATTTAACACGTAGGCCCACATTTTTCATAATTCATAGTGCAAATTGAATTTTTTAAATTTTTTTTATTGGAGACTTTTACATCATTATCAAATTTAATCTAGTAACAGTTATAGAAATTTTAACATTTTCACTACACATCAACTATCCTAAGCGTGCACCTTTAGAGTGGTGCGAGTGGTAAAGAATGTGAAAGAAACTAATTTTAATGCCTATTAATTTTTATTGGAGTTTATTCAGAAAAATAATGAATTTGAATTTTCATCCCAGGTTAGTTTGGTAACAAGTTTTAGAATATAATTTTTAAACTGTGCATTATTAAATTATTTATTTAATTTTTTACCGTTACTAAAAGAATTATAAAACCCCAAGAATTTTTTTTAGTATATAAAATAAAGATTACACTTTTTTCTATTGTTCAGAGATTTGTTGTATGAAAGAAAGAAGTAAAATTGTGTTTGGAAAAGGGGAATATTACTCAATTAAAAATCTTGATAAATTTAAGTTGGCATATCTGTAAAATATTGACAGTTAGAAAATTCTTTAATGGCTAAATTACAATTACTTCATGTATGTTTATCATTAAGAAATTAATTTATAAAAACTTAAAAAAAAACCGAGAGCTCAATTTATCTATAATTCTAAAATAGTATTGTGTATTTTTTACATAATTTGTGTAGTTTACTATCAAGTAAATGTGGTCCAGGGGCGCAAGGAATTTTTGGGTTTTATAGGGGTTGCGAGGAAGAGAAAAAATCTCTTGCACAGAAGAGGGCACAAATATCTCTCGAAACCATAGCGCACTACATGCAAACCGTCGGCCTGGTACGGCACCTGTACCCAACCACAATTTTAAACTATGTTGAACTACTTATGTCGATAAAGTAAATCAAAGCAAGTATCATTTTGTACTGTATGCATTTTATAAATATCTAGCGATTTTTTTCTATACTGTACTAAAATTAATAGGCCTAATGTTAACTCAAATGGACACTGTAAAAATTATTTATTTATTTGTTTTGTTTTACAATTTTTATTAGAACTCAAGTTAACTGGAAGTGCATTTTTGAGTGGTTGTGATTAATTTTAACTTCCCTACAGTATTGGGTGCTGTATAAAGCACAGCACAGATTTATTTAAGAACTAACTGAAGACTCATGAAATTTTGGTTTATTTCAGACTGAAAGAAAATGTCACCAAACATGGACCAGTCCACAGGGCAGCTTTTTGCTGAGGATCCCTGCCCCCCTCCACCTCCTCCACCGGAGAAGAAAGAGTTCAAACCCCACAAGGCCAAGATCTACTGGAGAAATGTGTTCACCCTCACATACTTCCATCTGTCTTCCATACTCGGTGTTTACCTACTGTTCACCAACACGAAATGGCCAACTTACCTCTGGGGTCAGTTAATACTTTTACTCGTATACATAAATGTATTGTAAACTGTGATAGGCTTCTAGGTGATGCACTTTAAATCTTCTATTTGATCACTTAATCAACTTCATTTTTTTGAATGGGTAGCCTCCGATCGAGATAGAATTAAAGTGGTTTAAACCAGCACTTTAATTTAATCAACTTCGCTTGGACAGGGATGTACCTATAGGGACGAGTGCTAATCATGACTACATGTATTAGTATGGTAGTGGATGAAGTATATTTTTTTAGGATAAGTTTTAGTATAAGTATTGTTTTTTGGTATCACAATTCACTCAATAGGGAAACTATTCTTTATTTTTTCCTTTAGAGATTGAAAAAAACTATTTTACTCTCCATTTTATTGCGTTACATCAGATCACTTTCACTGTTATTTACATCGGTCTATGACTGCAAGTAACTTTGAATTAATTGTTTTTCTCCTGTTTCAGTTCTCGGTCTGTATGTTGTGACAAAGATTGGAATCACGGCGGGAGTTCACAGACTTTGGACACACAAATCCTACAAGGCCAACTTCCCTCTGAGAGCTTTGTTGATGTTGTTCTTCACAATGGCTTTTGAGGGCAAGGTAAATATAGTCACACCTGTTTTCACTGTCAAAAGTAAAAATGTATACTCCTTACGTTACATTCACAGTAAACATTGTGGCGTGCAGTGTATATATTGTCATTAGCTGGATTTTTCAGACAAATTTAAATTGTACAGTGCAGCCTACTTTTGAATGATGAGGTAGACTTCCTATTTATATAGTTAACCAGCTGTACCAAGTTATTATTTTAAAAAGATCATACAGTAGTTTGATGAGCTACTCACAGAATGTGTTGAAGTCTGAAATTCTATTTCATACCTTAGTTGTTGTTGCTTGGATAGCCGATGTGAGATGTAACATAAAAGATGTTGTAGCTTACACAAAAAGTTATCCTTTCAGTTCGGTTTGATAAAAGTAAGTGTGTTCTACAGAAATTCGTAATTTATATTAGTGCACTGTGTCAGTGACTCATGTCCCTTTAAGATAAACACATCCTTTCATTTGTTGACTCGTAAACTTGTTGCGCAGGTATGGGTTTGGGCGAGAGACCACAGAGTGCACCACAAGTACCAAGAGACAGACGCAGACCCGTACAATGCTGGCCGAGGACTCTGGTTCTCACACATGGGCTGGCTGATGCAGAGCAAACACCCTGATGTTATTGAGAAAGGCAAGGGCATCGACATGAGCGACCTCAAGGCTGACGGACTCGTCATGTTCCAGAAGAAGTGAGTTTTAAAGTCTTGAGATCCTGTTCAAATACCACACCATTTAATTTTCTGAATTTTTTATAAGAATCGTGTATTTGAAGTACAGGGGAAAAAGTCAAGAGTGTCTAGGTGGGGATGTGGCTTACTCTAGTGGTTGGACAGTATGTTTGACATCTCTGGAGGCCCTGGTTGAAACCCTGATAACTATCAACGTCCTTCAGCTGTATGATAATGCCGTAACCTGATCGATCAGAGCCTACTATAACATGTACATTAAAGTATTTAGGCACAAAATTAAGCCACAAAAGAGTAGGTTTTTGTTTTTAGAGAATCTTTTTTGTATTGGAGAGCTCCCTTTCTAAAAAAAACACCCATGATATAAATAAGTTAATTAGTTTGGATGCAAAGCAAAATTGTTGTCTATGGTAAAAGTTTCTGGTACATAAAAACACACTCTTTTTACTCTCCTATCATGAACTAATCTGCCACTCTCTTGTTTCTCCCCACACTTTTTTTGTTTTTGTACGAGGGGTGTTCAATAAAGACTGACAGTACTCTTTTAATACCTTTAATATAAAAGCTTATACTTTCACACTTGTATCTCCTTCTAAGTAGTCACCATTTAAAGCCACACACTTGTCCCAGCGCCTCTGCCACTCCTTAAAGACGTGTTCAAAGCCCTCCTTTGCCAGGACCTTCAAAATCGCCTCTAAAGCCTTAATAGCAGCAATAGTAGTTGGAAAACGGCGGCCTTTAAGCTCCTTTTTGGCCTGAGGATAGAGAAAAAAGTCATTTGGAGCCAAGTCAGGGCTGTAGGGTGGATGTGGCACAGTTTCGACTTTTTTTTGGCTAGAAACTGAAGCACAGTATTGGCAACATGGGGGCGAGCATTGTCATGATGCAGTTTCCAGCGTCCAACAAGGTCAGGCCGTTTTTTGGGGATGTGATCTTTCATTAGTTGCTTCAATACTAAAATGTAGTACTCTGCATTAATTGTCTGACCCTGTGGTACAGTATGGGTATACACCATACCACGATAATCAAAGAACGTAATCACCATTGCCTTTGCAGCAGACTTTTGAGCACGAGGTTTTTTTGGCGTTGGTCCACCTTTTTCCACCCACTCTGTACTCTGTTGTTTTGTTGCGGGATCATAACAATAAATCCAACTTTCATCAGCAGTAATAATGTTTTTCCACCATGCATCACCTTGCATCACACACTGTAACCAAAGTTGGCAAATTTCAACGCGATTTTGTTTCTGAACTGGTGTTTTTAACAGACGTGGTATCCAACGGGCACAGACACGTGTCATATTCAAATGATCGTGCATGAGTGTATGGACACTGCCAATTGATATATCGAGCAGTATAGCAAGCTGTCTAATAGTCAAATGTGGATCAGTGTGAATCATAACACCCGCAGTGTTGATTGTTTCTTCGGTAAGGGCAGAAACAGGGGCGCCAGGCCCACCTTCCAACTCACATGATTCCCGTCCATTTTTAGTCTCTATGCCACCTAAAACAGGTTCTTTCACTCATTGCATCATTACCAAAAGCTTTTTTCAAGTCGCTGTAAGTATCCGTAGCACTTTTCCTTAATTTTACACAAAAATTTATCGCATATCTTTGCTCACGAAAATCAGCCATAGTAAACCTTAGAGGCAAAAATTTGCAACTGTTTATGAATCGGATGCTATGACAACAATGCAACAATGCTATGATGTTAACAGCTGATTTCGTGGTTGCTAATACTTCAATCTTTCATACCAACTTATAAAAAACTAATTATTTGACTTTGTTTACAAGTAAGCTACTGTCAGTCTTTATTGAACACCCCTCGTATATTATTTTTCTGAGGTGTGTTTACACTTTATCACATTGAACAAGAAAATTTTGCCAGGGCCCTTTTACACTGTGCATCTGTAACTCAATAAATTCCTTTTTGATAAGTGGTTGAAGTGAATGCTTGGTCAGTACAGATAATGTTAATTTGTTGAGGGCAGTTGACAGATACGTTGATTTGCAAGAGTGTGTCCTTGAGGATGAAAAAAAATTATGTTTGTAAATGATCACGAGGGTAAAAAGATACTACAGATACATCTATTGTTCCGTAGGTACTACTGGCCCCTGGTGTACGTGCTGTGTCTCATCATGCCCACTGTGGTACCTGTGTATTTCTGGGGAGAGTCGTGGATCACTGCGTGGCACGTAGCAGTCTGCCTCAGGTTCGTCATGTCTTACAACGCTACCTGGCTCGTGAACAGTATCGCCCACAAGTACGGCTCTCAGCCTTACGATGTGTGAGTATTTGAACTTGCCTCATTTGTTTACCTTATTTCATTATTGTTAACTAAAGCCATGGTGAAACCTTTTAAATAGTTTTTGCCAATGTGGTGATGCCTAATTGGTGGTTTGCACCCTACTTAAAGCTGTAGGTTAACTTGTTTAGAAAACTTAATTGATACCAGTACTACTCATCTTTCACATGAGGAAACTTATAGTATTCTGAAATTCTGTTTTTTGTACATTTGAAAATCTTTATAACATTTATTCTTTAGTTGATTTGTCCTCTTTTTTCTACATGAGCAGTAAAGATTAAAGAATCATGCATATCTTCAACATTTGGCAATCTACATGTGATTACTAAGTGTCAGATATATAATAAAGCCCAAATTTTACTTGCAGGCATGATCAAAATTTTTTAACATCCAGTTTTGGTTTATTTTAAAGTTTAATAAATAAGATAGGCTAAAACTATGCTAACCCTGACTATATAAGAATGTGACATTGAAACATGCACACATGCACTTGCAGCTGTAGTGCTAATGATTAATTACACATGTAGGTTGTGTTTAACATTGACAGTTTTGTATATGGATATATGTAGACTTAAGCGCTAACACCAGCATGTGCATAGTTCAAGGAGAAAATGAATTTTGAATAAATTATAGTATTGTACTGACAAGCCCAAAATTATGATTACAGTTTCAAACCATCAAAACATAATTAATTGTATAAAAAACCATATAGTGTTTTGCAAGGTGACAAACACTTTTAAGACATTAATCCGACTTGCATGGTAAATTAAGTTTCTATAAATGATCACTCAACCGTTCACATAATTTGTTTTTAGCGGATTTCACCATTCGGGAAAATCTTATTCAAAACTATTCAGCCATTAATTTATGTCAATGCTAAAGATCAAAGATTTTCCTCTGATACCTCTTTCAACGTTTGTATAACTTTTGCTTAGTTTTAAATCTCCAATTTCACCATCAATCACCACCCACCATTCATACTTCATGAATTTAGTACGGTACCTTTACTTAATCATTAACTTCAATAAAACTTGATCATCTCCCACTTGAACATCTCCTATTCATTAAATCTTATTTTCCAGGTAATAATATAATACAGGGCTCTTTAGTAGATATACTTTCAAGTTTTTCTTGACTGTGATTACCTTTATTTTTATTGTTTTCTCGTTTTAAAGATCTTAAGTACAGCTTTATCAGACACATTGAATATGTCATACAGATCTACATGCTAAGGCTCTTCCAGGAATCAATGCAATGTTAATGAATGGTGTTGTTTCAGCAACTTCTTTGCTCGTGAGAACAAGAGTGTGTCCGTGGTGACTCTGGGAGAAGGTTGGCACAACTACCACCACACCTTCCCATGGGATTACAAGACTTCTGAGATGGGAACATACGGATACAACCTCACCACAGGTAAATAGCTGTAACTACAACTACTGGTGGCGCGCAATGATAAAACAACACTTGGTGCGGTAGTATGGATTATATTTGAATAAAATTATAATCAGGAATGGAATGGTCTGGCGCGGTTAAATTGTGAGACTGTACTATGAAGGTTCAAGTTCATTAAATACTTGTTAATCAACAACAAGGCTTTTAGCTAACTCCTCACATTTCATGGGCATGTGATTTCATGATCACAATAACAAATTTTTCCTCTTATTCTAGGCTTACGGGTACTCAAAACAAAAACATCCTTTCTTAATTCATAAGCAATCTGATGCGCTAGTTTTATATTTTCAACAGAAAACCTAGTGGAATTCTCACTCCTTAGTGCGCTACTAGAAAGCAAATAGTTTTTGATTGATGTGAAGTAACCAAGAGGTGGCCCTACATAAAGGTGAACAAGGTGGTGCCTGGGGCCCGCACAGCCATATTTCAGGTATTCAGAGAGGCTCGCTATTGAACTTCGCCTTGGTCTCTGCAATCTCTAGAGATTGTGCCACTGTAACCAATGCCACAGTTTACTAAGTTAACTTTTTTTGGGTGTCAAAGGCAGAAAACCAATAGCAGAATGTGCCAGAGGCTCAATTAGTTTTAATTCTTTAAGGTCAAAGGTATATTGTGTTTATTTTTGCAATATATCAATTTTTGTGTAGGCTTCATCGACTTCTTCGCCAAGATTGGTTGGGCCTACGACCTTAAGACCGTCTCCCCTGAGCATGTCCGCAAGCGAGCTCTCAGAACCGGAGATGGCACTCATCCCATCCACCAGGAGAAGGAACTGTGGGGCTGGGACGACAAGGATATGCCTAAGGAGGAGAGAAGAGCTGCCCAAATAATCAACAGGAAGGACGCGTGAACCAAATATCTTTAAATTAGCTCATAATTGATTTTTGTACAATAATGTATTTATATAACGAACAGTTCTATTTAATGATTGTTTTTAAAGTTAAAGTTAATTGTTTTTCATGAATGAAAAAATTATATTATATCAGCTGGCACCTTGGAGACATTTTAATTTGGAGTTGTATGTCAGTTTTTTAATTTAAAAATTAATTTTCTTGTGTTTGACACAATCATGTGATTACAAATTTATGAGTATTTGGTCTCTATTAATCTCAATTTTTGTGGAAAATACTTTAAGAGACAACATTATCTAAAATTGACTGAATTAAATTTATTTATTAAATGTTCATTTGGGGAACATTTACACTACACGACTATATATAGTATTAAAAGTTATTAATTTGTGTAGTACTTTTTGGTTTTGAATTTATTCTGTTTTAGTATTTTGTTACTTAACTTCCATAATACTCTGCAGTTCATAAAATGAACAGAGTATATGTTATATTTTGTGGCACTTTTCTCCCTTACGATTGGATTATTTGTTAATTTAAGTTTGGTGGATTGACATGTGTGAAGAAGCTTTTAATCACAAGTGTGAACATAATTATGATGGAATAAGCTAAAGCGTTAACTGTATGTAACACAATGAAGTTGTACAAAAAACAAAACTAATTAGTTTTAACATAAATTATTCACATATAAAACAAAAGTAAATCCAACTGAATATTTAGTTTCTGAGATTATTATTCCAAAAACTTAAGTGAAAGTAAGTAGTTACTCTAAAGCTGAACTACATTGCCGTAAGATGTAAAATGTTTGTGAATAAATTAGTGCTGTAATAATAATTTAATTAGATGAGTTAACTCATCTGATATTGTATGTTAAGATTCTAAAGCGCTTTAAGTCTTGTCCGTTTTGTGTTGTGTGTGATTATCTAACGACTTACTATTTAGTCGAATTGAAAATATTGTGATCTAGTTATAGTTTGTGAATTATGTTCAATAAACATAATTTTGTTCCATTTACAAATCATGTGTTCATTTGGATTCCTGTTATTTAGTTTACCTTGTGATACCAGTACACTTATTTCTTTATTGGTTTATTTAATATCATCAATGGATTTTTGTAATTTTTGGAGTTGGAGATCAAATGCTAAATCAAAGTAGTAGTGGAAAACTAACTTCAAACTAAACATTTTGATGAGTTCAATTTATTTGATTTGATTTATAACAAATAAATTGTACAGTGTTACTCTTCCTTTCAAAGAAGTTGAAACTTTTTTCTTTTCATGTTTAGTTTACATGAACTCTATTTAGGTACTTGCTGACTTTTGCAGTACCGGTACCTATACCCACTGTGGGTATAGGTACCGGTACTGCACATATACCCACATGTGTGTCTCCTCCTAAAAAAAGCACTTATATAAATATTCATTTTTGAACTAAAGCCTAAAGAAATCAAGTATTTTGACGCTTTGAGAGACATATAAACTTCCACGTCAACTTTGCCATTGTTGACTAACCTCACCAGAACTGTTAGTATCAGGGCAAAACTGTTAAACCTAGCACAAAATCAATTATTTTAACAAGTCTACTTCAGCATGACAAATAGAACAGCTACCGCCAACTGAAATGTTGTTTTCAAGATTTCAAGATGCATCGTCATCTTCTACGGTGATTGGTACTCAGTATGACAAAAACTTTTTGGTGTAAGTACAAAGTAAATGCAGTGTGATGATGTATATAAAAAGTTTCAGTCTAAAAATTAGCTACCCAAAGAATTATTTTATGTTTTTCAAAAATAACTATGTTTTTAAACTTTATACAGCTATTTCTCAATAACCTGTAAATGGATTTGAGTAGATAATGTCATTTTCGGGGGGTTTTATGAGGTAAAAATAGGTTTTTCCCATTTTTGACCCAAAAAACATAAAATTTAGCAATTTCTTTCCAAACCATTTTGTAGAGCTTAAAAAAACAAATAATTTAGTATATTGAAGCGTTATTATGCGCCTAATGGTTACGGAGAAAATTCCAAAAAATTGTAAATTTAAAATTCCCATGTTATTCTTATGGAGAATAAGTAAACTGTTGTAGTTTGCTTGTTTATGAACATATTTTGATGAAATTTGGAAAAGTTTTTATTTCTTACTGACTTTTAACATTAAAAAAAAAGTTTTACCCTCCCTGATGCAGCAAACCTAAGTACTTGTTAAACTAATTCTATTTAAATAGGGAATAAATGTTATATTTTTAAGTAGACATTTCATTGTAAATCCAATCAGTCAAATGGAAATTCGCTTAGTCTGCAGGTTTGCTGCGGCGGGGGTATTGTTACTATTGTATTGTAACTTGTTCTAAAAAACATTGGTCTATTGTATTTTTTCACACCCTGTATACAAGAAAGTGTCCGGGGTAAAAACTGTGCCATTTTATAAGCTTTCCAACCATATGTGTTGTGGTATATAGTCAATGAATAATAAAACTTGGAATAATTTTATTTATTCTATGGTGTGCTATATTCTAAAACAATATTGGTCTATAGTCTGTGCTACTGTGCTGCTACAAATGTTTTTTTGTAGAAGGTATTGTTAATGATGTCCGCCGCCTGCGCCTGCCTGTAATCGTAATGAATGACAGCTGAGGGATACGTCAAATCGTTGTGTTATTAGTAAATAATATATCAATAACAGTTTTTAATAACTTAACTTACTCTTAATTAGTTGAATTGTGAGATTTCTGTGAACATGAGTCATTAATAAGAAGACAAATTTTAAAATGCTCTGGACACCAACAAAAATAAAGAAATATGGAGTGGGTGAGTTTCGTGGTTATCTCAGTCTGAGTAAATGCATAGGACTAGTCTAGTAATTAAAGAACCAATGTCAATTTTATTGTTACTTGCAGTTTTTGGTTATGTCATTTTTTGAGTCTTCAAACAGTTTATCCTTGAACTGCCCCTATAAAATAATACAAATTTACTTAATCTTGAGTTAGGCCTAAGTTATTAAGTATGTTATAAACTAGGCCTTGGGTAGACCAACTATATTTAAGCCGTGTTTACACCAAAGTTTACAACAAAAAGTTAACAACCAAAAGCTTACAACTAAATGTTGCTCTGAACAAATTTGAGGAACTAGGCTAGGCCTACATAGTGGAAGAGTTTTTGTAGAAAACCCAAAGTTGCTCCTCACTAATTTAGAGTAACTAGTGGAAAAGTTGTTGCCAAAGAATTGACTACCGCCCGAAGTAACACCAGGGGTGCGTGGAGGGGCCAGGGGGAATAGTTCTCCACTAGTTTCCCACAAGTTGCTTGCGCAAAGCGCGTTTCAACTAATCATCCACATTTTGATGTAAACATTTTTGATATTTACCAACTCTCCGAGGGAAACCAAAATTTAGTGGAAAACTTGTCTCTCCACTAATGGACGACAGAAAAAGTCGCTTTATTTTGTAGAAAAAGCAACTAGTTTCCAGTACTAGTCCAAAACTTAGTGGAAGACTTTGGTGTGAATGCTGCTTTAAACAACTCAGTAAGTTAGCTCTTTTACGTCTTTGGGCCAGACTAGCCCAATATTACTGATGTCGTCTTTGTTAGGACCTTATGTAGGTAGCTTACAACAAGAAAACAACCCAAAAATGTTTCTGTCCCAAGTTGATTAGGCCTAATGTAACTTAAGTCAGCAGAAACTACACTCTCAGGCATTGTTAATCCTAAAGTAATGTAGACACCGTCATGACAGGAAACAATTGGCCATACTCAATTAGACAGTTAGTTCTCTTGTTTAAGTTATTTGCTGTAATTAACGCCCAAGTCTGGTTGTTTACTTGTTAATATTTTATATTAAACTATACCCATTATCCCATTTCTCGCAACTACCTAGTTTCAAACTTAGTGTTCTTACTTAAACTGGTAAACTTACTCAAACTTAGTGTTCTTACTTAAAAGGCTAATCAGTAATATGGCATAATGGGAACCATCAACAACTGATCCACACTAACTAACAGTAGTAAGCATGTAGTAAGTTATCTGTAGTCTTAACTTACCGCCCATAATGTTATAACCATTGGTTGTACAACTCAGTCAATACTTACTTACTTATTCCTTCATCTTTTACACAAAATAGGGATGGATTGCGTCTTGACAGAAAAATAAAACATTTCTTTTACACGCACAAAAGAAAAAATACTTGCGTACGGTACCATCAATGTCCGTGTGTCCGTGTGAGATATTTTGTGTGTATATTACACCTTACAATTGAGTTAAGGACTCCACCTGGGTGCGAATTTATACCCAAATATGAGTGAAGGACGAGTGCAGAATGAAGTGTGATAATCTGAGTAGCTTTGTTACTGACTAATATGACCGTTTCTTCAACCAGGATCGTTTATTTAAAGCCCAATGATCAGAGACAGTTGGGTCCAGTTTCGAACCTTCAAAAAACTACTGACTTTTCTCAGGATCAAACCTAACCTTTTTATTGTTATGCGAGCACCATAACCACTCAGCTAAAACTTGACAATACCATACTGCTTTGGGGTGACCTTTTCTTGATTGATATTTTATAATGCCTATAGACTCAAAGGATAAGACTATTAGTGTGATTGACTGGTTCCGCGACACTCTGGCCTGTGTTTTACTCTAATCCTTCTACATTTCATCACTGGAAAGTAAGGTACAGAGGAAATATGCTTATGGGGTGACCGTGCGCTTTCAGTTGTAGTATGTTATGCCGGTAATATACTTGTGACGAGCAAGGAAGAGCCTTTGCAGAAATTCCTATCGCACAGGGTCGTACTCCACTGTGAGCGTATTAGTACATGAGGGCAACAGAGACAGTGGACTTTGCCCTAGACACCAACAACTAGACACCACTTAGGCTACATGTACCATTGAATGTTTCATCAATACCTTATCTCTCTGTGATTTAAACTCACACACTCATCCGTATCACTCATAGACTAGGCTACATTTAATATATAAATTTGTATCTAAATTTCGTAGAGGAAATCTCTCAAACGATCCTGATGACATACTGGTATCTTAAAATAATCATAATCCTGTACATGTTATTGGGAAATGTAGAAAATTAAATTTAATTGATTCATATTAATCAATATATATATATATTGAGCATTATAGGTGGTTCTAAGAAAAGTTGAGGTATGAAGTATCTGATGTTATGAGAGGTTCTCTGCAAGCAAAGAGGAAGTTCCGCTTGAGTGAGCATGGGAAGGTCACAGAAGTACAATAGCCAATGTGAGCCACTGGGTCAATAAAACTTGTTCTTTCACATTTCTTTCTAAACTGCATCGCAGCCTTTATGTAAATTTCAGATTTTTTTGAAAAAAAACAAACTTAAAATATTTATTGGTGTTAAAAGTGGTTTGACTATAAACCTAACCTGTTCAATCATCTTTTATAGTAATGGGAAGAAATGTTTATAATTAAAGTGTGATGGTAAAAAAGTCTGAAGAAACAGCATTATTAATGAAAATAATGTTGGACAAACAATATAAGGCCATTTATGTGTCAGGCCCATGGTAATATCATGATTAGAACTCGTTATTCAGGATGTATATTTTGCATCCTGATAAAAATTATCTAATTTTCAAAGGAAATTGTTATCATTCTATTAAATGTAGTATCATACTTGTGATATCTGATCGGAACTTCATTCAAAATATCTTAGCCTACATTTGTTTTTTCCATTCATCAAAGAAATTGTTGGTTTCACGGTGACCAATAAAAAAGGTAAATAGCCAGTGTCCATTAGAACATAATTTTTTATTTAAATTCTTTTATATGCAAGTAAATCGTTTTACTGATGTAATTATGCTATTAATTATACATTGTGTTGTTGCATTTTGTATACTGTGTAGCTATAAGCTATCTATCGTTAAAGAAAAAAAAATTAGTTAGCAAGAAAACAATTCTTCCCATTTTATCTTATTTTAGTTAATATCAGCAAATGACGTTGAGCTGGATTTTTATTAGTGAGATTTTAGTTATATTAAGTGTGTTTTAAAAGTTACCAATCGTGTGGTTCAAGAAAGAAAATTAGTCTAGATAAATTAGTATAACTTATGAGATGTTTTTGTCTGTTAACTATTTTAAGTAAGCACGGCCCTACTATAGATGTATTTGTATAATCTCCCATAGATATATTATATCCGCTTAGAACACACTTTCAAAATGTAGAAGCCACTGTCTTTAGCCACGTAAACAAACAAGTGACAAACAAGTCACAACATGATTGGCTACCGCTGTTCAGTCCGTAGATCTGTATTTGATTTTTGTGTCCTTATTGTTTGAAATAAAATAGGCCTACTAACTTAAAAATCCATTGATTTTCCTATTAGGTTCTAATGGTTCAGTTCTGAGATATTATTGAGATGGAATCAACGGTAATGCTACTGTAACAATTTTATAAAATAAATTACATTAGAATAAACGTTGGTTTGTTTGGTAGTGGCCTTGATTTGATTACCTTCTATCAATATTGATACAATGCTTCTATTACAGCTGTCTATAACTGGAACGGAGATGTACGATTTGGCTTGCCTCTGGACATCGGAGACACAGTACAGATCCTTGAAGAATGTCAAGGTAAGACTAATAACCACTTAATTAAGACCCAAGTTGGGCCATCTTATTTATATAAATGCAGGGTGGGTAAGGGTATAAAATAGGCCTACTACTGTTTTATCATCAAATCTCAAGGGTTTGCACAACTGGGTTTATAAATCCTTGTTGGTAGACCTTGGAATATACAAGTATTCATACACAATGTATGTATACACGAGCTTCACAAAAGCTACTTTTCTTAAAAATGTTTGTTTTTATTTGCTACTAGAAGAGTACCCTTCCTTCGTAGGGGTTGGTGTAAAAATAACTGAAATGCTTGGGGCTTAGGTTTTTTTAACACCCTACTTTTAAAGTTCAATTGCCGCCGTTAGCGAAATCCATTAAATGATCTTGCTTTGCAAACCATAAAAGGTTTAGTACTTTGTAGTGGCACTACTGTGTAGTGAAATAAGCAAAGACTACCTGTAATGATATAATTGTGTTAAACGTTTGATGAAGTGTTGTGATTTAATGTAGTGTATATCATCCTTACAAATGATACTGTCCAACAACAGGTTAATGGTGTATATTAAGTAAATCAGAGATTAGACAGCTTTATGAAATAACTTTCACAACTACCATAGGCATTGAAAAATTAGACAAAGAAAAAGTTGGTGAGTACTAGGCATACATTTTGATTATGTCAATTACATTGTTATTATTTAAAATACAAAAAGACTAAAAAATCCTCAGTCCAGGAAGTCCAGACCGATAGCGAATTGATTGATTTTTTTTAGTGCCCTAACCCATGACTTGTTTTTATTTTCATTGCATCTCCATTTAAATAATTTCTACCTATTACAACAATAGTACTTTGCATGGACGTAATGAACAAATGCTAATCTTAAGCCACTGCTATCTTTTTCAATTGAGAAAACTAAATGCTGAATTTTCAAACAGTAATTGTTAGGGCCCATGAAAGTGTTTGATTTTTAATTTTTAATTATATTCTTATGTTACTGTATGTCAATACCATAATATACGTAAGGCTGGCTTCTTCCTGTAAACATGACTTACTTCAGGAAATCTGACTTTTGGAATCCGTACCACCTATAAGCCTTAGTGTGAATTTTTTTGCAGTCTATTGAGGCCCCTTACTAAAATATTCATCAGTATTTTGTCAAATTTGAACTTATTTGCATACTGACAGTTTAAAATAACACAACATGTATTTTGCAGGATGGTACAGAGGATTTGCAACTAAAAACAGGTCAATCAAGGTAAGTGTTATTATTAATAAGTCAAAAACATAATTTACAATGAATACACAAACTATAAAGAAGAACAGGTCCTATGGACAATATTCTAACAGTATTTTCAAATTTGGCGCGCGAAATATCTGTAGTTCTGCACTGAACCACCACTCAGCGCTGTAGTCAAGTTTAGCACGCGGTGAAGTGCGAGAGAGAGCGACATACACCGTTTTCGTCCCCTGTGGGCCAGGCCACGAGAGAAAGAGAGAGGGGGCGAAAACAGTGTATGTCGCTCTCTCTCGCACTTCACCGCGTGCTAAACTTGACTACAGCGCTGAGTGGTGGTTCAGTGCAGAACTACAGATATTTCGGGCACCAAATTTGAAAATACTGTTAGAAATGAAATGAAATGAAATGAAATGAAATGATTTATTTGCCGTTGATCATGTACATGAAATGGGCATTGTCACATATGATTAATGAAATTAATTAAAACAGATTGTCATATATCTATAAAGACTAACTAAAATCTAATTTCTATACATGTATTAAGATATTCATATGTATTGTAAAAGGGATTGTCTAAAAGCCAAGCAGTTACCTTTTTTTTGAAGATTTTGGGTGTGCAGGTCCTTGACGATTCATGCAGTTTGTTAAAAAATTTGATGCAATTTGCCTTGTGTGATATGCCGAATTTTGTCAATCTGTGCTGTGGAATATCTAATTTTGTCCTGTTGCGTGTTTCATGTTCATGTATTTCTTGCCTGGTGGGAAAAAGGTGAAGATTAGCTTTAGTGTAAATTAGAATATGTAGTATGTATAAGTTAATTACTGTTAAAATTTTCATTTGTTTAAATAAAGGTCTACAGTGGTCCAATCTGTTAGCTCTGCACATAGTTCTAAGAACCTTTTTCTGTATCAGGAGAACATCTGATACAGCAGTTGCATGTCCCCAGAGAACCAACCCATAGGATATGTGAGATTGAAATAAACCAAAGTAGGTCATTCTTAGATATTCATCTGACACAGATTCCCTGAGTTTCCAAAATAGATAGCTGACCCGTGAAATTTTTTTACAAAGGTTGTTGATGTGGACATGCCAAGACAATTTAGAATCGATATGAATACCCAATAGTTTGACTGATTGTAAATCCAGATTTAGAGAGGTGCTGAGGATGATATTTTGAGTTTTACCTTGGTTACAAAGTAGTTTATTCGTGGAAAACCAATTCAATGCATCTCCCTGGGCCACACCCACCTGTCTGAAGAGCTCTATTTTGTCCGAATTTTTAGCAAAAATTGATGTGTCATCAGCATATATTACTGACTCAGATCTTAGATTCTTTGGAAGATCATTTATGGCTATTATAAAGAAGAAAGGCCCAAGCACAGAACCTTGGGGCACTCCCATTTTGATATCAACAACATTGGAATTAGCACCCTGAATGGAAACATACTGTTTCCTACCATTCAGGTATGACCGGAATATGCTAAGTGATTGATCCTGAACTCCATAAAATTTAAGTTTGTCAAGTAAGATATTGAAAGGAACACAATCAAATGCTTTGCTCAGATCTAACAATGACACAGCAACTGATTCTTTGCTCTCAAATGCATTTAAAGAGTAATCAACAATCTCCATGACAGCCGATGTAGTTGATCTTCCTTTGCGGAAGCCGTGCTGAGAATCAGATAACAGATTAAACTTATCAAAATGAGCAGCAAGTTGTTTGTGCATCAGAGATTCAAAAACTTTTGAGAAAATCGGAACAATTGATATTGGTCTATAATTTTCAGGAGAAGATTTGTCTCCCTTTTTAAAAATAGGGATGACTTTGGAAATTTTTAGAAGATCTGAGAAGTATCCATGCTGCAAACAAATGTTGAAAATGAAGGCTAGAGGATCTTTGATGATATGAATAGTGTTTTTGATGATATAATTAGACAACCAATAATAATCCATGCTTCGAGAATTTGAGAATTTTGAAACTATGCTGGTAATTTCCTCTGGAGTGATATGTTGCCAATAAAAAGGCTCAACTGCTGTCAAACCATTGCCCAGAAACTCAGAGACACTAGCATTTGTGGCTGGAATGTTATTTGAGAGTGTTGTGACAGAGTCAATGAAAAATTGGTTGAGCTGTTCAGGTTCTAGTGTAGTTTGATGTGTGCCAACTGCAAATTGCTCCTGCTTAACTATATCCCAGGCTGCTCTGCATTTGTTTGGAGCAGACTCTATATAATGCTCACAGGCTTGTCTTTTAGCCAATCTTAAATTGTTTCTATAACTCTTTTTACATGATATGTAAGCTATAAAGGCATTATGCATTTGGTCAGAGTTACATCTTCTATAGTTCTTATAGATACTAAACAGGCTCATCATCAACTCTCTTTCCTTAACCAAGTCTGCAGAATACCATTGAATTTTCTTAGCAGGATGTTTGATATTTTTATTTTTCTTACATACCAAAGGAGAACAAGTGTGCCAAAGTGATACAAATTGCTTAAAAAATTCGTCAACCAAAGTTTCAACATTGATTCTACCTGCAATATAATTGTCAAAAATGTCCCACTGATAGTTGCTCAATTGCTCTTTAAAATAATTAATATTTTCCTCAGTTTGCTTCCGGAAAAAGACTTTATTAACATTAGTGATATTCCTAGCAGTTTTATCACTATTTATCTTTTTGTTTGACTTTATATTGATAATTTGAGCACTATGAATAGAAAAATTACCTTCAATGGAGCACACATTGTACATATCATTTGAGAAATTGACCAGAATATTATCGATGCAAGAATTTAGGTGTGTTGGTTTATTAAAAGTACATGTTAAATTTAGAGACCTCAGAAGGTTAAGAAAAACTTGTGATTTTTTTTTCAGTTGGGTTTCCCAGTTCAATATTAAAATCACCACAAACTGTGATGCAGGTTCCAAAACTATTTAATTTTGTCAAAACCAATTCAAAGTTTTCGAAGAACGTTTCTAGATTACCCAGTGGGGACCTATACAAACTTAACACTATAATATTCTGTTCAATTATTCTAACACAGCTAAATTCACAATCTACTTCTTTACAAAAAGCATCTAGATCAATTACTTTAAAATTAACTCCTTCTTTGATAAAAATACCACTACCACCATTTCTAATTACTTTCCTACAATAAAAACTTGCAGGTACAAATCCACTAGGGACATAAAAATCTATTTCATCTACATTTAGCCAGTGCTCAGAAATGCATACAGTCCACTCTTGGTAATTCAAACACTTGATAATTCAAAACTTTCGATAATTCAAAATGAAGGCTCAGTCCCTAGAGAATCTCTCAATATTTCAAATTTTTACCATGCATTTTGATACACTCGGTATTTCAAAGTCCAAATAGAGGGCAGGTCAATTTGTAACACGCAGTAATTCGAAGTTTCATCGGAAAAACACTCTATAATTCAAAGTAACTCAGTAATTCGAAGTTTCGTCGGTTAACACTCTATAATTCGAAGTCATGCTGTAATTTGAAGTTTCGTCGAAAAAACACTCTATAAATCAAAGTCACACAGTAATTTGAAGTTCAGTCGGCAAAACGCTCTATAATTCAAAGTGATCTCTTCCTGTTATAACAGGAAACTATACAGTACAGTACATCCTGTTCCCATGGTAGGCTAGTGTTGGACGTTTTGATGTTTGTTTAGTTAGAGCAGTAGTCAGAGTTAGTTCGCTGACTTGTTTTTCTAAGTTGGCAATCCGATCTCTAGATTGCGCGACATCTCCTTGAGCACAAACGTAGTTGTCGACAGCTGATAGTTCAGCTATTGGCGAAATATATAGCGCTAAATAACAGATTTCTTTGCAACTACAGTAACTGAAAAATAAGCCGTTGATTGTTTAGTTGATGTTTTATTGGTTGTAACGTGCTGTACCTTTGTATGTATTAAACAAATGAACTCTCTGTAATTCGAATGGTTTATTTTCCTCCCGATAAATCGAACTCTTGATAATTCAAAACTCTTGATAATTCAAATTTATATGCTTGGCCCACCAATTTCGAATTATCAAGAGTATACTGTACTACATCTATGTTGTGGCTACCACAAAAAAGCTCAAGCTCCAACAGTTTGTTTCTAATGCTTTGTAGATTTATTTGCAACATGGATATTGATGCATTTAATTTGCTATTACCAATATTTTTAGATAGGCCTATAGCTTTTTCTATGGGCCTATTGGGCAATGAAAACCCATGATTGACTATGTCCTCCCTAAAAAAGACACATCATTTGAAGTTGCGTTAATCTTAGGCCTACTATCTAGTTTAATTATACAAGTCAATATGTTCCTACTCAATAACAATTTACCTGATTTGTTTAGGTGTTGCCCATGTTTAGTGAAAAACCGTCTATGAAAGTTACCAATAGATATAAAGTTAAAGTCTTTTGTTACATTATTAGCCTCCATCCCCTTATTGCATTCCTGGACTGTCCAATTGAGTCTCGGATCATCATGTCTTGGTGGAAGTTTCATCATTATCACTTTAGGACCCCCTAGCTTCTTGAGACATTTTAGTCTTTGCTTCACTTTACTGGAGATAATCGTAGACATCCCCTGGGAGATGTCGTTACTGCCTCCTATGATTACCACCGTGTCCTCACCACCCATACCCTCGACCTGCTTGTTAAGTCCGTCAATAACATCGGCTAGTTTGGCAACGGGTCTACACAGAGAAAAAATGTTGAAATTGAACTTATTTTCTGTCAAGACAGTTAGATAGCTAGCTAAGTCCTTGCCATGACTATCTGATACGATCAGAATTTTCCTCCTTTCCGCAGAATATTGTCCATAGGACCTGTTCTTCTTTATAGTTTGTGTATTCATTGTAATTTAGCTCTGGGAACAGTACTAGTTGTGCGGTCTCAGGTCTACCAATTGAGCGGAGTAAACAAAATAGTTAACAAATAATCTTTTATTCTAAATAAAATTTGAATTTCAAAATAGACTATAAACATAAGAACTTAAGAAAACTTTTAAAGATCAATACATCATCATACAAGTAGATTACTTTAAGTCCAAATACTGTTTCTTTATGCCTGTAACTCTCCCTATAAAAATGGCTCAGTTAGCAATACTGTACCTCAATAGTTCTTGTTCTTACTCGCGACAACGCTAGATAAAGTAATCCGAGGACAACTGGTACACTAGTTTTATTGAATAAGGCACAAGGTCAAATTTGGAAATTAACATTATTAAGTTCTGTATATCTTCTTTATATCACTGCAAGCTGAAAATTTTGTTTTCAATCCTTCACAGTTTCCAGTTTAACAATTTTCATTCACAAAAAATGTACAAAGTAAAAACAGTTTTTTAAAACACTCAATCTAATAAAATGTGTTTCAGGGAATATTTCCTTCAAGCTACATACATATCAAGCCATGCAAGGTGGAAAATGAAGTGTAAGTAATATTTTCAAGTACATTAACATTAGTTAAGTCTCTTGTCAAAGGAAGCCTAATTGCTTGTGTAAAATAGCCCCGTACGAACTTAGTGTCAATAAACCTGTGTCAGATTGGAATATAAAAAAAAGAAACCGTTTGGTTCTTTGTAAAAAGTAATATTTAAGAAATTGGAAGATACAACTGTCTGAATAGAGCATTTTGATTTTTTTTCAGAACATATGAAACAGTAGTTCCTTTGGAAGATCCAGTGGTGCGAGAAACAACATTGGTCTTGAGAGAATGGAACGGAATCTGGAAAAACCTTTACGTGGTAAGTAGTAAAGTCTTTTAATAGCCACATTGTAGGTAGCTAATTACAGATCTCCTGGTACACTTATCAAACCATAAACAATAGGCTACCAACCTTGTAGCAAGGTTGGTGTAGGACTGGTTGATGTATATAGCATTACAGTTAAACTATTATGTATGCTTAACTAACTGAAATTATATAAATTAATGTGTCGAAATCATGAAACCCACAGACTAATGATGTGGTTTGATGGCTCCCATGCAATAACATTTCATTACTAGGGCGTAAAGTGAATCTTACTGACCCAGGCTCAAAGTTTGCAATCAAGGCGAAGCTGATGTTGGAAATGAGCGAAGATTGAAAAGACACTTTTTGCCTGTGCGATGAACTACATTTTTTGGCATATTTCTAAAGGGGAGAGCATATTAAATGTGGAATTGACTCAAAAAACTCATGAATATCAAATCAAATTAAATTGAGACAGAATAGAAAACTAGTTTTTAACTAAAGTATTGATACGTACTTGTCCAAGGCATACTTTCTCTAGGTGACTTATAAGAATAAACTTTTAAATTAATGAGAAACAAAATATATTACAGAAAGGAATCCACACTTTTATTTAGATCACACAAACATAAACATGAACACAGCTTAATATAAAAAGTAAAACATATGATATTGAAACAATGTACATTTAAACAGTTCAGAGGCAAAATTGTCAATTTTCCAATACTCCCTTCATAATTTTGAAACTAATTGCCACAAAGTCCAATGTTTACTTTAAGCTGTGTAAACCTTACTCGATTGAGAGGTTTAGTAAGGATGTCGGCAAGTTGATATGTTGTAGATACATGTTCAACATCAACAAGTCCTTCCAAGAATTTTTCTCTGACAAAGTAATACTTAACTTTGATATGCTTCGTTCTGCGATGAAACTCAGGGTTCTTTATGAGTTTCACAGCACTGCCATTGTCAATTTTCAGAACAGGTGTCAATTGTGAGTGACAACTTCATTTCTTCAAACAGACATTTCAGCCATCTTCTTTAGCTCCTTCACATGCAGCCACAAACTCGGCTTCTGTCGTAGACAGTGCTACAGAACACTGTTTCTCGCTTCGCCAGCTCACTTGACCTTCAGTATAACAACTGATAAACCCAGAGGTTGATTTCCGCGTACTTTCCTCTCCAGCAAAATCAGAATCAGTGAAAACATCCAGATTACTGCACGGTGAGGACTTGTACAAGATACCAACATTTATGGTTCCTCGAAGATATCTAAATATCCTTTTGACACTCAACCAATCCGCTTGAGTAGGATGTTCCATATTCCTCGAAGCCAATCCCACAGCAAAGGAAATATCTGGTCTTGATACACAACTTAAATGCATCAAGCTTTCAACAGCCTCACAGTATGTAACTTTTCCACTAACAGTCTCCACTGGACCATTGTTTACAGGTTTTTCACTTGGTGTAAAAATGGAATTTGAGTCACTCATACCAAAACGTTGTAATATGCGTTTAGTATAAGCTGATTGACCAATCCATATTCCACTTGAACCTTTCTTGATCTGCAATCCTAAATAACTGTCAAGTTCACCAGATTTGATTTAAAAAACATTGGATAAGCTTTTCATGAAGTCATTAATTATGCTATTGTTGGTCCCAGCTACTAATCCATCATCTACATAAATAAGTACAAGTAGCTTCTTCCCTTGATCGTTTTTATAAAAGAGACAGGGATCCGATTTACTTCTCTTAAGACCTTGAGATTCAAGAAACTTTGTAAGTTTCAAGCTCCAACAACGAGGAGATTGTTTCAGACCATATAATGACTTTTGTAGTTTACACACACGTCCAGTTCCATCAGAATAACCTTCAGGTTGCTCCATGTAAACTTCCTCTGAAAGATCACCATATAAAAAGGCAGTCTTCACGTCAAACTGACACAATTCCAGATTTTCAACGGAAGCCGTACTTAGCACAGATCTAATGGTGTCATAACGTGCCACAGGACTAAACAGTTCATTTGACTAAACGATTTTATTTGATTTGATATAATCAATTCCTTCACGTTGTGCATATCCCTTGGCAACTAGTCGAGCTTTGTATTTTTCATGAGAACCCTCAGAATTAGGTTTGGTTCGAAGTACCCAACGACATCCCAGGACACGAGCTTCTTCTGGTTCATCCACAAAATCCAAGTTTTATTTTCATGAATAGATTTTATTTCATCGTCCATAGCAGCCTTCCAGTCAGATGCATCATCCAACACCATTGCTTCCTTGTAAGACCACGGAAACATCTGTGTTTCTGATTGAACCAGCATCAGATCAAAATGTCCACTGCTCATACAAGTTGGTACATTTTTCACTCGTTTTCCTTGTCGCAAGACATCTTTTTTGTGGTTTCATTTTTAGACAATACAACACGCTTGTTTTGCTCACCTCCCTCCAAAACAACAGGAGTTGCCACTTCATCAGTTTCTACTACCATGGTTTCATTTTGAGACAATACATCACACTGCTCACATCCCTCCAAAACAAAAGGAGGTACCGCTTTGTCAGTTTCCACTTCTGTTGCTTTTGAATTGATGTCAAAATGAACTTCATCGCTCGAAGATAGCTCATTATCAGGAACAGTACTTCCTTGGGATATCTTAGGCAGAAAGATAACAGTTTGCCGTTTGCTTGGTACATACACTCTGTATCCATCTCTCAAACCATGATACCCAACAAAGATTCCGTCAATGCTTTTAGCATCCCACTTTTTCCGCTTTTGCTTCGGCTGATGTACAAAGCAGTTAGTTCCAAATACCCTGAGGTGTTGCAGACCTGGAACACTCTTACCCGACCACAATTGCAGTGGTGATTTGCCTTCTACAGGACTTGGTCCTGTAAGATTAAGGAAGTAAACTGCAGTATTACAAGCCTCACCCCAAAGAAACTTTGGCAAGACTTTCCTCTGAAGCATAGAGCGAGCAGACTTCACAATCGTTCGATTGTCCCTCTCAACAGAACCATTCTGTTCAGGACAGTTGGGAGAAGTTGTACCGGTACGTATCTTAATACCATACTCCTGAATGATTCTCGTAGTTTCCTTTGATAGGAATTCAGACCCGTTATCAAACAACATTTCTTTTATGATCGTTCCACCTTGTTTTGCTTCTACAAGAAAGATGTGCATACAATCAGCTACTTCACTTTTATTCTTTATGAAAAATACTTGGCGATACTTACTGTAGTGGTCTTTAAACAATACAAAATAGCGGTTACCTCCAAGAGAAGTGACCTCCATAGGTCCGCAGACATCTGTACTGATCAGTTCACCAACCACCTCAGGACAAGTTGGACGAGAATGAAATGGATCACGATGAGATTTACCAAGAACACATCCATTACACAGACCCATGTCTCCAGTCACATTAATTCCATTCATCTTCAAAACTTGTTTAACATAGCGTTGATTCTGATTACCTAGCCGTTCATGCCATAGCTGTAAAGAATCTTTCTTACATGCAAGTTGTACAGTGGGTTGTATAGGACAAATAGCACGCATGTTAAGAAAATTTAAATCCCCATGCAAACGTCCAGTCAATGTATCAATACCATCGAGGGTAAATTTACATGCAAGATTGTCAGCAGAAAACACATGGTTCTTCTTCGCTGCCTTGCTGACTGACAACAGATGAGCTCTAGAATTAGGTACATACAAAACGTTTTCCACAGTCGTTTGAATTAGCTCTTTACCAACTTTAGTTTCAACAACAATGATCCCAGATCCCTCGGCATAACACTTTTTATCAGAAGCATTATCACTGAAGCCAGACATAAGTTGTGGTTCTGAAAATTGTGAATACTCTGTAAAATATTCTTTACACCACGTTACATGATGAGTAGCACCACAATCCGCAATCCAAACGTCCCGATTTGCAAAAGTTAACTCATTCCCGTTCATAAAACTAGGCCTATGTTTTGCAGACACATCCTTCTTGTTATCAGATGTAGATACCGTAGACTTCTTTTTAAGTGTTTACACTTAAAACAAAATATCTTAGTAACCTGCTTTTGATTCTGATTACTCTGCCCTTGTTTTTCTTTTTTAACCCTTGTACCCGTGGGTTTTGAAACATACAAAGCAGTTTTCAGTAACTCCACGTTATCACGCTGCTCTATAGTATGAAGCTTTTCAACTATAGTTCAGCCGCTTAGAAAACGACCTCCTCTAGCATTGGTTTAGCATTAGCGCGCAGGTCGTTTTCTAAGCGGCCGAACTATAGTGTTTTAATTGTTCTATCCTTAGATGGCAGCTTCCCATACATTTCTGAATTCACGAAAGCTTGGCCCCAAAGTAGATAAAATTCTTGCAATTAAAACTCTATCACTAAGCTTTGATTCCTTTTGTTTCTCAAGTGCATCATTTAATTCGGAAAAATGTTTTTGAAGCTTTGCAACATGGGTAGCTATGTCCTCATTAGGATCCCGATCCCACCTAAAAAACTCTTCTTGCAAACGATCTAGCCTTTGTTCACTAGACTGTTCATACACAGATATTAAACAATCCCAAACTTCTTTAGAAGTTGAACAAGTCAAAACCAGTGTAGATGGTTCATCCCCTAGGGATGACATCATGTATAACATAGCAGAAGCATCTTTTCTGTCCCAATCTGCAATAGCATTTTGCTCAGATCCAGAGATGTTATTAATAGGTCTTACTTCAGATCCCATTATGAAATTTAACCCTCCGAGTGTCCATAGTTTAAGCCTTAATGTCCGCCTATTTTTGGCGCATTTGCAAGGTTTTATTAAAACGGATCTGAGAAGCTTAAAACAATGTTAATGTTACTGTTCTATATACCATTTTGTTTGGAAAATCATGGGCTTCAATATTATACATAAAACATAAGGAACATTTGTTTCAAAAAAAATTTTAGGTAAAAAAAAATTTTGGAAAATAAAAAAAAAAAATAAGTTTGCGCTCAATGAAATTGTATAAATTATAGGCCTATACATATTTGAAAATAGCCACTTTGTTCTAAATTTTATGAGGATTACAAATGTATAATAATATAAGGAAGTAGATTTGCAAATAAATAAGTTATGGGCAAAAAACAGATTTCGGTACATAGCGTTTAGCTAAGAATGCATAGCCTAACCATAGCTAGGAATCTGGCTGATAATTTACATCAATATCACTACCTACTTCTTCAGGATCATCAACCAGCCCTTCAAAATCTTCAAAATCACTTAAATCTTCTTATAATGCACCACGTATATCACTACTTTTGATTTTTAACACTAAAACAATGATAAACGTAATAAAACACATCAGTCATCGGTCCGAGGTTAACCAAGCTGTTTACAAATACGCACGTCAGCTGTCTGCTACAATATTTTCGGAACTAAAATGAATAGCGCTTAGAGACAGACCTCCGGAGAAAGCTCTGAATCTAACAAAAAGAACGATACCTAACTCGATCCAGTTCAATCCGATTCAGTCAGTCATAGAGCCTTCGCCGTAAACGATGTTCGTGTGTCGAAAAATCGACAAGTGACACTACACAAAGTGTGTCGTGAGTCGATTTTTCGACAATCGACGCTCGGAGGGTTAACAAGCCTTGTTGTCTCAACAACAACTGGATAAGCATCTTCCATTTAGTCCAATTACTTGCACCCAAAAGTTTCTCTATACATATCTTTTCATTAGCATTTGCCATAATGTCTAACCAATTTTATACTTGCTCCAAGAAAAAAGTCAACAGTTACAATGGCAAAACAATGAAGAAATATTATATAGCTTCTTTAGAAGTGATTTAAAAAATACCTTATTTGTAGAATAGCCCACAACCTATTGATACGTACTTGTCCAAGGCATTCTTTCTCTAGGTGACTTATAAGAATAAACTTTTAAATTAATGAGAAACAAAATATATTACAGAAAGGAATCCACACTTTTATTTAGATCACACAAACATAATCATGAACACAGCTTAACATAAAAAGTAAAACATATGATATTGAAACAATGTACATTTAACCCTCCGAGCATCACTTGTCGAAAAATCTACTCACGACGCACTTTGTGTAGTATCACTTGTCGATTTTTCGACACACGAACATCGTTTACGGCGAAGGCTCTATGACTGATTGAATCGGATTGAACTGGATCGAGTTAGGTATCGTTCTTTTTGTTAGATTCTAAGCTTTCTCCGGAGGTCTGTCTCTAAGCGCTTTTCATTTTAGTTCCGAAAATATTGTAGCAGACAGCTGACGTGCGTATTTGTAAACAGCTCGGTTAACCTCGGACCGATGACTGATGTGTTTTATTACGTTTATCATTGTTTTAGTGTTAAAAATCAAAAGTAGTGATATACGTGGTGCATTATAAGAAGATTTAAGTGATTTTGAAGATTTTGAAGGGCTGGTTGATGATCCTGAAGAAGTAGGTAGTGATATTGATGTAAATTATCAGCCAGATTCCTAGCTATGGTTAGGCTATGCATTCTTAGCTAAACGCTATGTACCGAAATCTGTTTTTTGCCCATAACTTATTTATTTGCAAATCTACTTACAATTTTTTTGAAACAAATATTCCTTATGTTTTATGTATGATATTGAAGCCCATGATTTTCCAAACAAAATGGTATATAGAACAGTAGAATTAACATTGTTTTAAGCTTCTCAGATCCGTTTTAATAAAACCTTGCAAATGTGCCAAAAATAGGCGGACATTAAGGCCTAAACTATGGACACTCGGAGGGTTAAACAGTTCAGAGTATTGTCAATGTTCCACTATTTTGGCATATTTCTAAAGGGGAGAGCTTATTAAATGTGGGATTGACTAAAAAAACTCATGAATATCAAATCAAATTAAATTGAGACAGAATAGAAAACTAGTTTTTAACTAAAGCAAAAACACAAAGGTAATAATCTAATAGATAAACATGAACATATGACTGATAAAAAATAATAGTCACCACATGCTTGCTTATATACAGATCATGAGTGAAAGACCAACAATTTCAACATTATTTAACAAACTAAGTTAGAAATCACTTGTAAAAATAACCTCTATAAACGACTTCCAACCGGTTTTCAATTTTGCTAATGCAAAACCAGCAGCTGTTTTGTTCTACTTTAGACCCAATCTATCTATCTATCTATCTATCTATATATTAATAGGCAAGCATGTTTCTTTAAAACCTTTTTTCTCAGCTTGTGTGCATCGTGGGGTAAATCTGCGCATACCGTTAGAAAGCAATTTTCCTGTAGGTGTGCAGAACCCCTTTATAAATTTAAATAGGCTCAAAGATAAGCACAAAAAATTAGTTTAAAAATTTGAAAAAATTAACATGGATCTTATGCGTTGCCATGCTGGTGACGAAATAACAACGAAATATAAACAGACAATCAAAACAAATGGAAGAAACTCCAATCACATGTTTTATTTACAGTGTGGGGTGAAAATGGAGAAGTGAGTACATTACATATTTTTGGTCGAGTTTCGACCACTGGACGACCTCTTGTTAATATTAATTAAAAAGAGCTATTTAGTATTTTTGCTACATTATGACAAAAAAATGTTTATTTTTGTTCCCATCAATATATCTTGAATCTTTAATTTCACTGCAAAACTTTAAAATATATATAAATAATAGCTTATTCCCTATATGGGAAATTCGCTAAAAGGGCTGCAAATCTTTACATTAGAAAATCAGTTGTAATGACAAATAAGGGGATCTTGTTCAGATTTGTCAAAAACTAAATTTATTGATTCACGATACCGATTCCTGAAAAATCTATGCTCAATTCTCGTTCCTGATGCTATTTTTAGCGAATTTCCCTATAGGGAAGTAGCTATTACCGTAGGTCTCATGGTAAGACTTAAGCCCGGGACCGATTTACTTTTTCATTTTGATGTCCCCAGAGGCCAAAAACACCATTCGTTCAAATTTTTATATATATATGTGTCCATCCGCACGATAACTTGAGTAATTTTTGCCCGATTTCGATAAAATTTGGTTTGAAGGTGTAAGGCGAGATAAACTTGAATGAGTTCGCGAACCAGCATGATCGGACTATGGGAACGGGTGTTTATGGGGGGTTTTATGGGGTAAAAATAGGTTTTTCCCATTTTAGACCCTAAAAACACAAAATTTTACAATTTCTTTTTAAACCATTTTGTAGAGCTTAAAAAAACAAATAATTTAGTATATTGAAGCATTATTATGCGCCTAATTGTTACGGAGAAAATTAAAAAAAATTGTAATTTTAAAATTCCCATGTTATTCTTATGGAGAATAAGTCAACTGTTGTAGTTTGCTTGTTTATGAACATATTTTGATGAAAGTTGGAAAATACATTAATTTCTTACTAAACCACAGTACCTTTTAATATTCTACATAAAAAAAAATTTTACCCTCCCTGTTGCAGCAAACCTAAGTACTCATTAAACAAATTCTGTTTAAATAGGGAATAAATGTGATATTTTTAAGGAGACATTTTAGTTTAAATCCAATCAGGCAAATGGAAATTCGCTAAGTCTGCAGGTTTGCTGCGGCGGGGGTATTTTAAATTCTTCCACAAATTCAGTTCATTCTTGTATTTTACCGGTTCACCTATTGCTTTACCATGGGTAGACAAACGGAAGGCTAAAAGAGGCGACCACCTCTGAAAAAAATAGACTTAAGTTTTAAAATCTTATAAAGATCAGCTAATTAGTGGTTGGATATCCAAGCAAGTTTTTATGTTAAGATAACTTTTTAGTGTGTACCCACACAGCCCTCCTACATTTATTATATATTGATTAATAAGCGACCTGTATTCCAGGAACGAGAGACATACAAGTTCCAGACCGTTCGCAAGGTGATGCGAGACCTGGTAGACTGGCGGAGACAGCTGTTGACCGGAACTCTTACTCAAGACCAGATGAGAGAACTCAAGCTCAAGATCACAGCCAAGATAGACTGGGGAAACAGGTCAGTGCATAGTTACCAGTGTTGGGAAGTAGCACGCTACTTTTTTTGTAGCGTTAGCTGTAGCTACGCTACTTTTAAGATTTTGTAGCTTTTTAGCTGTAGCTAGCTACATTTTTAAAGTAGTTGTAGCAGAATTTTAGCTACTTTTCTCGCTACATTAACATTGATTGAGATAACCTTTTTCAAACTGAGATTTTTTCAAGAAAATTAGGCCAACTTTCTTGGCTTTATACAGATGGTCACAGTCGTTTCATTACCCATTACAACGTTGCGTGGACATGGAGGCCATTATCTGAGTGTTATCCACATTTTTGGCTCTCATTTCCTTCATTTGCTACTCTATGATTACTGTCAGATAAAATAAAATCGCTAGATGCAGACGACGTTTAAACGTTACCGGTGACAAGAGAAGCTGTTGAATGCTTGCAAGTGATTGACAGGGAAATTAGTAATCAATTTAGTTTCTTTATTGTATCAATTTAGTTTAAACATGGGTTTTAATGGAAACCAACACTAAACCTTAAAATAATGAGAAAGCTGGTCTATCAACCTTTGCTTCAGCTGTTGATTGTGGTTCATCATCTTTGGAAAAGTAGCTAAAATTGTAGCTATAGCTACATTTCATTGTAGCTGTAGTTGTAGCTAGCTACTTTCTCGGAACTGTAGCTGTAGCTAAGCTACTTTTTTGGAAATATAGCAGTAGTTGTAGCTAGCTACATTTTAAAAGTAGCTTCCCCAACAGTGATGGTTACATTGTGTTTGGTGGTCAGTATGTTATTTATCATCATCACTACTTTAGAAACAGCAGTAACATCTGTACTCCACTCTATACTCTACGACTTCGGTAATCGTCTCCCGTGACCGCGACAACACTCGTGGGAGTAACTTTCAGTCTCCGCGACTTCAGTAATCGTTTCTCGCAACGGCAGCAACACCCGTGAGTGAAAGGCTATGATCACATTGCTTGCAAGCGCATTATGTGATGCGAGCTCGCACGAGTTGGGGTATTCATATTACGTGCAGGTACTTGCATATTGCTGGCTAGTTAGGTCAAAAGTCATGTGATGATGACATTTTTATGATGGAAATTAGTGTTTTGAAGTTTTTCAAAAGAACTAGGTTTTAGTAGTGGATAGTGAACCATTTAGGGAAGAATGGGTGAACGATTACTTCGTTGACAGAGAAGTAGGAGGAGAATACCACCTTGTTAGATGACTATTAAAAAAATAATACAAAATAATAACAAAAATAATAATAATAGGCAAGAATATTTAAAATCTGTTATTAAAAAACATTAGCATAAAAAATGTATATTAATTACGCCTAATTTTTTAAAAATTCATACAATTTGAAAACATGGTGATATCAGTTAGGATAGAGCTAAACTTATCATAAAATAAAAGCAATCATAAAATAAAAGCAATATAAATTTTTATTAAATACTTACCTGTTTTGGCTTTGTTTATAGTAGTAAAACATGCCTCACACTGCTTACACTTAACAAAACTTCTCAAATGATAAAATAATTAAAGTAATATTTACATGTAAAGAATTAATTAAATAAGAACGCCTTCGCAAAGGAAACGCAACTACAACGTGTTCCTGTATTGCGGGTATTGCATTGACTTTCTGCAGGCGTTCTTAATTTTTTTTTATTCTTGTCTTGAAAAAATCTTGATCAAAAACAAATCTCGTCTCGGAGTGTTTCTCCAGGAGAAAAACGTATGATAACATTAGTACATGTTCGTAGTACAGACGGGGCAATGAGAAGGTGCTTGGAATGTAGGAGAGATCGTGATCGTGCAAAAGAGATTATAAAACTCAATCAAATGTTCATCCATTTGATAAGAAAGAATAAACCGAAGATCAAAAACCTACACACTGCAAATACGTACTCGCTTCAAAAACAAATAAAATTGGTTGCAAGAATCTGGAGATGCGAGCAGGGCTGGATTTCCCAACCTAATTATTGTATTCTCTAAAGATCAGACAGGAGCTAGCTGACTTATCTTTAGTATGGTAAATTGGTGAAGAATTAAACTGGAATGATCTCATAGATTCCATTTAAAACAAGATCTAAAGAGATCTTTATCCGCTAAGGAGATTCAAAGTAGTTGTACTCATTTTGTAAAATTATTGTGAGTTTTCTCACTGCCACAACTAAAATAACTACTTACCTTTATATTCCCCCTGGTGTTTATTGGGAATTCTTCTGATCGTGCTAAAGATTTCCTCCAACAGCGTAACCATTGTGTAACTCAGTGATTCATAGCTTTCATAAGTCATAGCAGTTACCAAGATCACCGAGGACCGCTTTTTAATGGCCTTGGCATCCTGATAGCTAATTTTAAACTTATCAACAGCAGTTTATAATTTATAGTCTACTACGTCCTCCTAGCAAGAGGAGTCTTTCATCCCCAACCAAATCAACTACATATAAAAAACCTCACTATCTTAAAGAGTAAACTGACCTAGACAACAGACAGCAACTTCTATCTGGTGTACTTGTTATTTATTTAGTAGCCAAACAATGTGAGTAGTCTTGGGCAGTGTTTTGAACCTGTGGTAGGCGTTAATATTGCATGTTAGCTTAACTTTAAAAACTAAGTACTGGTAACTGACTTGAAATATAGCACTCGAATAATATGAGCAAAACTAAAACAGCTTCATCTGCAAAAATATAACCTTCTCAGATAAAATTCATACCTGGGTATGAAAAATGGGTTAACAGGTTGGCATTATATTTTATAAAAGATGAACAACATATTTTATAGAATATCTTTTATAAAACATTTTACGGTGTAATATGGCCACTAGTTACATTGGTTTTAACTAGCTCTAATTAGGTATTTGGCTTAGTGTTGCCCAAACTATTTTTGTCTTGTAAAGTGGTACAGTACTTCAAGTAAAAAGTTTGGAAAACAGAATAACAATCATTTGATTCTGTATTGAAGCACTGGTCTTTGGCCACCTAGAATGCTCTACTTGATACTAGGTTATTTTCAATTTGTCATGAAGGCTGGACATGTATGAGAAACTTGGAAAATTTTGTTATATCATTGATTTGAGTTATACTTTACTGCAAATGGTGGTTTTCTGGTTTTGAGCAAAATTTTCCAACACCTTAGGTGGTAAGATCCAAACGGTAAGACCCAGGAACGATGTGTAATGAATCTAATATGTTTAAGGAAACGTTTTAGTAAAAAATTCAATCAGACCAATGGAAATTCGCTTAGTCTAGAGGTTTGCTGCGGGGGAGGGGGTATTCAAGTTGACACATTAATAAATTATTCAATATTACATTTTAAACTAGTAATATTGGTTTACAGAGGCAAATGCCTCACTTGATAAATATATCAATAATAATGCTAGTTCAATAACACTAAACTTGGACTTAATAGTCATGTATTCAATAAAATGATTGTGCTTTTTATTAATTTCTTATTCTTACCTTCTTCTTATTCTTACTGGTATCGTTCATAATAACTTCCTGACTGGTGGACATGTTTTCATGTATAAAACAACCTACTTAAAAATGCAATAACTCGATAGGTTCAAAACTTCAACACTGGTAGTTGTACCTATCATTTTACACTGGTCAACTAGCAATATATTTTTGTTCAATATATTACTTACCAACATATTTGTGTTGTATGCTCTATATTTTTGCAACAACTTTATTGTTTTTCTAGGTGTGGTTAAATCTGGGTGGCAATAAAATAAATTCATTTTAAAATTCACTTTAATAGCGCTTTTGAATATACAATTATTGGATATTATCACTATTCAATAAGAACATATTGAGTACAAAACTTACTAATAACAAATGGAGAGAGAATCTATTTTCTTACACTATAAATAGAAAAATACACATTGAGCCTTTCGTTGTCTTTTTATGTGGAATGTTTAATTAATTCTGCTATCACATTCTCATCCTGTGAAACTAGACTCTTAACACTAACTAACCGAGTATAATTACCTATTATTCTATGAAAAGTAAAGACAATCTACATAAAATACTAAAGTGTAAATGAACAAGTGCTTCTCAGTCCTTAACAAACCAAAATGTAAAGCAAAGCAGACCTAACATTGATATGTTGTAATTCTCGCCTTCAATAAAATAAACACTTACATGACTAAATACATAAATATTCTTCTTAAAGTGATGCCAGAAGAACATGGAAGACTCATGGAAGCTAAGTGTATTTGGAGAAAAACATAATGTACATTTTGATTCGGGAAATACTGTTTTTCTATATAAACACATATAAAATATTGTGTAATCTATATAATATCAACTTTTACTATCCCCGAGTAACCCCCTCAACGTAAAATACTTTTTGTAATCAACAAAACGGAATGTCCGATTCAATACATTGACATCTGCGCAACAGATTCTAGAGATCATTCTTTTTAACCGCCTTATCAGTCATAAAGCTTATCACTTATATTGTTCATGTTAATTAGAAAGCTGCCATTGAAAGTTGAAACGCTGATTTAAGTCGGATCAAAAAATAAATACAGGAAAATTATTGCTATTTGATCAACTAACCTATTTGACATAGGTACAGCATCTCACGATTTCAAAAACATCTTTCCATAAGGCCTAGATTGGAATTACAATTTGACCCTTCATGACCTTAACTTCATTCAATCATGATAAACATTGGGAAAAAATTTAGAAACATTTTTTTTAGGCCAAATGCAACTACTACCAACGTAGATCAGTTAGTACGATCTAGTTTAAGATCAAGCTTCAGTCTCTTTGTGCAGTCGTAGTTTGTCCGTGGGGTAGATAGGTGACAACTCCAGAGTTGACGGAGCTGTTGGAATGTTGTTACCAAGATGTAGTTTACGGCTCAGTTCATCCAACAGCTCACCAAACATCATCATGTTGAGGTTTTGGCCGATGAGGTGCAACAGCAAAAAGTCACCGACCTGGTGAAAAAAAATCATTAATATGTTTTAACTAGAAAAAGTTAGGTGTTGTGATTGAAGTTTATAATGAACAGCTGGGTCCAGTTTCGAACCATCAAAAGCTACTGAATTTACTCAGGATGAATCAGGCAACTTCTAATTCTTAGGTGAGCGTTATAACCACTCACATACACAGCATGCAACCAAAGACTTAAAAACGTTAAATAAAGATATGCCACCGTTATAATATGTATACTTGGAAACCTCCACTTCTTTGTCCTCAAAACTTTATCCTATAATTTATCACAAGTATTAATTCTGTATACGGTATCTAATTTAGATCTAACTACATAGCTTAAAATCTCTCTTAAAGTTCAGATTATCATTTGTACGGTTACAAAAATAGTCTTTTTGTAATCAAAATGAGATCAACTAAAACTTTTGTTTAGACTTTCTAATGCAGTTTAAAACAATCATATGAAATAGCCGCAAGAGGGTGAGAAAAAGAAATCGTTTGGATCCAAGTTGCAATAGAATAGTTACAAGTTGTAATAGTTGTACAGTCTAACCTTGATAAAACGAACCTCGATATAACGAATTCCTTGATATAACGATTTTTTTATAATCCCCTAGAACTCTCCATAAGACACAATGTATATTTTACCTCTACATAACGAACAAACCATAACAACGACCTTGATTTAACGAAATTTCGTGATTTCGGCTAAAATAAGACACCTCAATATACGAATTTATCATTGTCAGAACCTCTACATTGCGAATTTAACCTCTGCATAACGAATTGTCTACGTCTTTCTCTCGATATAACAAATCCCTCACCCAATTATTGTTGTGGGAAAATCTGTTTCTTTATCAAATGAAATGGAAAGGTCACGTCATCGCTTGCGCTAACATTTGTCTGCTCCGTTTTACATCCTTTTGTCTGCTGTCGCTGCGCGCGCTATGTTGCAACTGAGAACTGATTTCATTCACTGAGGACTGATGACGACGTAATGTTTAGTAAGCGATTGGGCGATATGGAATAGCTATGGTGAATTGTACAATTTTTGGATAAAGAGAAACCTAAGAAAGAATATAAAAACAAAACCAAAGAGAAAGAATAGCAACATCGTTATTTTAACATTCCTTTTACGAGTGTTTTTATTATCCTTAAGTTGGCTATGATTATACACTTTTATAATGGCTTATCTAATAATTTCTTGTTTTCAATACGATTTGTTTCAACTAGCAATGCTAATGCTATAGTAGATGATTATTATTGAGATTCCTCTGTTGTGATAAATCAGTACTGTACTGTAAGTAGCCTACCGACCTAACACGAGCAGTAACTTACAAAACTCTCTACTGTTTTGTTTTGTTCCTTACGTGGTTTATGACTATACAATACAGTGTTTGGCTAGGTTTTAGGAGGGTTAGATTAAGCCGTGATTTGAAACTTACAGTTTTTATCCTGTACCAAGGTCAATGCCATTGTCATGATTGCGCAATATTCAAGATCCCTCCTCTTTATTATGCCGTATAATTTAGGTTCTATTGTACAATGTAAACACTGTACTGTAAAGTATTGTAGCCTATGCTACTTTAATTGTACTGTATTTAATGAGGTCAAATCCCGACCTATATTGATTGACCGACGCTGGTTCTGAACCTCGACTTAGCGAAATTCCTGCAAACCTAACGAACAAATATAACAAATATAACAAATATATTATATGCAAATATAACGAACCTCGTTTTAACGAAATCCTTGATATAACGAATATTCAGTTCGGTCCCTTCAGATTCGTTATACTGAGGTTGGACTGTAGTAGAATTGTTTATGGAAACGTGCAACAGACTAAGGTGAGAATGTCTGAATTAAAGTCCTCTAAATCACTCAATGACCTAGACTCATGTGATGTTTTCTTCTGCTAGCCTGTTAGCCACTACTCTTGTACTGAATGCTCAATATTTTCACCGCTCAATCTTGGAGTCTACATTGGCGAGCAAGTATTGTAAGAATAAGACTCAATTAGATTGTAAATCTGACTTAATACAAACCTGAGTTTTACGGATGAGAGCCGAAACGCCGGCCGGTGTGCCAAAGCGGAAGCGCCGGATCAGGATGGTTTCCCGGATGGAAGGCAGCAAGAGGATTGTTAAACTGTAGACAAGGGCTGCTCCTGACATGAAAGCCAGCAGGATAAACCAAAACCTGGGCAAGAAAGGAAACATTAGACTCTAGTGATCGTTTAGTTAAATCCCTCTTAGCTCGGTGTAATCATAACATAAATTCTCAAGGGTGGCTGGTGGTATATAGTTTAAAGGATAGGATCCTTGTCACAGGAGCTGAGTTTTAATTCATACCAATCACCAACGGCTTTCACATATTAGATATTCACTAAGGTAAAAATCATTGTTATATTTGCTACGTATACATTTAATAAATTCTCAAGGTTAGAAGCTGGTCTACAGGTTAGGGGTTGGGAATTCTAGAGGCTCAATTTCAAACCTTTCAATCACCAATACCTCTGAGTTATGTGGTCTCATACTCATAACTCCTTGTAGTCAAGGTCGCATATTAACGATAGTTTTTAATTCTACAATTCTAGAGAGGAAGTTAAAATTTTTGCTACAAGTTACAAGATAAAATAAATTTATGTTTATTGCTGTTACACTCATTACTGGCATTGGCAAGCGTCACATTCAATACAAAATCATACACGTTACATCTATTTCTCTAAGAATAAAAATTCCTTAACAATATAATAACAACAGTACATTTCTGTTCCATCGGCCACACAAATGCTATTGTACAAGTTTTGAGTACAATCAGTATGAGAGAAATAGTTCAGATTCCTATCAATTGAGATGTCTTAAGCCACGTCTCCACCAATCGAACACTGTTTGCCAACATAAAAAAACATAAAGAAAAGCAGGCCCGGACTGGCTAGGTCCGCCGGTCCGCGATCGCGGAGGGCCCCCAGCTCAAAGGGGCCCTGAAGGGGACCCTTCTCGCTTCAAAATTTTAAGTCGCTTATAAGTTATCATATGTTCATAGTATCGTTTTGTTTACATTTCTAACGTATCGTTTTGTTTACATTTCTAACGTATCGTTTTGTTTACATTTCTACACATCCAAACTAGAGAACTGTGTTTAACAACCGTTTGTATCTTGTCGTTTATACATAAAGGCATACAACCTACTGTATTGTAAGTTGAGTTACGTTGTTGTAGTGTAATACATCGTCTGCGCGGTGACTTTAGACAACGGCAAAGTGATGCTCTATCATATCAGCTGATTACTCAGCATAAAGATAGCGCAAAAAGACAGGAAAAGAATAAAAATATACTGGAAGCTTTCCGGTAGGGATGTGCCGAATCTCGATACCACAGATTCTGGAACATTGGTATGTGTATCGAGAATAATTGATCGTCAAGAGTCAACGACGCTACCGATACCTAGAAGTGGATAGGAATAATTCGAATGCGAAAATCAATTGACGAAATTCGACCATAGAATTTTGATTTTTTTCACCACCGCATCTAAAGGCTAAAGCTGGGTTTTCCTAGACGCGGAGTCGGCCAGCGGAGAGCGGACAACGGAGAGCGGAATTGAAATTAACATGGCATTCCGCTCCGCTGCTAGGAAAACAGTAACATTAAATTGCCTAAGACCAGCTGAGTCCGCTCTCCGCGTTCCTCTCTCCGCTGGCCGATTCCGCTGCTAGGAAAACCCAGCTTAAAGCAGTAACAACAGCTAAAATCTAATCTAACTGTTAAAATTTCCAACCCAAGAAAATTCAGAGTACAGCTAGTATTGCACAATGGGCAATTAAATGCCAGTCAACCAGCTACTACATCGTCTTGCCTACATAAAAATATTGTGATAATAAGGGCATTAATAGTTTGGTGTATTAGAAAGAAAATAATATTTTTAATTTATGTATTTATTAAGAACATAATAGCTTTGACTATTAATACCGTACAACTAGACACTCCATCCCCATATTAAATGCTTAGCCATATTTTTAAGTTTATTATTTTAGTTAGTAAAAATAAATCTTGGTTGTTAAGCCTAACTAAAGATGTGTAGCCTAATTTGTTAGACAGAATATTTCAGTATAATGATTTCAGCAGAATAATTTAACCGTGCTCTTTAAGAAGGCCTACTACATGGCAAAATTATAAGCAGTTGAAATGTAAACAACAATATATAAATTGGTTATTACTGGTACAACCATAAACTAACCAACAAGTGGGCTTCTTGACTTTCTTGTAAAAGGTCTTTTTTGTGTCTAGATCATGTTGGTGACACTGATCACAAGTGTCGACAACATTTTGTTCCTATTATTTTAGGGTTAATTTTGCAATTTTTGCCTTACTGTTTGGTTATATAACTAGGGGACGAGTTATTGTTTATGATTACATCGTTTTATTTGGTTAATTGAGTTTTTAAATAACTGGTAAGTAACAAGAAACAATTTGTTACAAAACACGACCTCTATAGTGCACCGAACAGAACTAACAATAAAATTGACCTCAGCTGATCCATAAGGATAAGAACTCTAGGGAGTATGTTTAGCCTATCTAGTTAGTTATATATTGATGGTTTATCTGATACAACCTAATATTCTTGCGTTACACGATTTTTGTTCTATGTGTGTATGCGTTTGTGAGTAAAGATACACAAACCTACAACGCGAGCTTTACGAGCTTTGTGAGGTTGCTCAGCTTGTAGACAGTGCTTATTAATTGTGAATGGTGTGTAATTTTTGTGAATATTCCATGTGTTATGACTCATGTTATGTGTTTATAGTTATAGTTCAATATTTTTGCTTGTTGTTAAGTAGGCCTACTGATTAATACAGTCTTTGTCTTGTTAGTATAATTTTTAAATCCCTAAAATCTTTTTGTGATTATTATTAGCACACAAATAATGTTGATAGAATTTATTAACTTTGGTGTGAATAATACTGCATTTTAATTTGAACTCTGTTATAACACTTATTGACACTTCTCAATGTGTGTATTGTATTGTTGTAGTATCCTGAAAATAATTAAATTTTTTTATTTTAATAAATAATAAAGTTTATTTTAATAATAAATAATAAGCTAAGTAAATATTCTAATATTTTATAAATACCTAGCTGAATTTCGTCCTTCTTATAATTGCCAAAATAGTGTGAGAAAAAACTCGTTTACAAGAACCTAATAAAAGATAATTCCCCGGTAGAGGGCCCCAAATGGTCCCAGTCCGGGCCTGAAGAAAAGTGAGAAAAATAAAGTGTTTAAAGTTATTAAAGTGTTTAATTAAGTGTTTAAGTGAGTTTAAAGTGAGTCGGTGGCTCAGTCGGTAGCGTCGCGGACTTCGGGCCCAAGGCAGACTAATCATCCATGTGCAAACTAATTTAGGTTGAATGAGAGGAAATCCTAAAATCCACAAAACTAGTCTTTTCTGCATTTACAACTAGATTTTTGTCAAAAACCCACTGAATTACGGCATTGCACTAAAGAAATGTCATAATCTCCATGATCTTTCATCTATACTTCACATAAAATTATGTATCACCAGAAAACAAAAATACATAAGTTACACTCATCTGTAAAGGAGACTAAGTTACACTCAATGAAACTCTTTGTAAAAAAAATGAAACAGAATCTTCATATTTTTTTTATGACAGAAAATGTTTTTGTAAATGTCATGTACTACTCAAGTAAAAATTAACTATAACATGAGTGGTGTGTAAGAGATACTAGTTATACTCTTGAATCAAATTATGTTAGTATTTTATTAAAGTCGTATTGCTGAATAGCTTGTTCAAGGCTGTATTGGAGTACTCCACCTCCAACGGGAAATTACAAAACCTGATCATTGTTCACTAAATTGAAACTGACGAGTTGCTAGTGCTAATAAAACATGTATCCAACAGTGTATTTGGATTGTTAAAAACTATACTGTATTTTGATTTTTAAACTATAATTGCTATTGCCGGAGAATTATCAACAAACGAGACACTTAAATCTTAAGCCCTATGAAACCATCTCAATTCTTGATCATCAAAATCGGATTAATCAAAATTCTACTAAAAGTTGCATGCTAAATGCCACCAAAATGTATGAAATGCAACAACAAAATAGTCTTAAAAAATATACTTAAACCATACCTAATCAGAAGGACCCTGTGCAAATTATGTTTCCTACTTTTGCCAAGCCAAAATAATTAAATTATTTAAATTAATATCATCAAGACATTAAAAACTCCACTTATTCGGTTACATGTAATATTGCCACAGTTTAATCATAATTTAACACATATTTGTGCTGCAAAGTATTTTGTAGTTGTCTGTCTAAAAATCCGCTCTGATTCCTCTTATTTTGATTTCCGTGTTACTTTTGGTTAACAGAGTAGTTCTTAACCTTTTCACTATAACAATACATTCGTACATACAGTTTACTCTGGTGTGATTCTCATTTTGATTTCAATCAAACTAAAAGCTAGAACTCATCTTCCTCACCACAACTGACAATCTAGAAGATAGAAACTTTTACTCACCAGAGGAAGATGTAGATCTTCTCATTGAGAATGTTGAGAGCGAGAACACAGAGAGCGTCGAGACGTACGATGCTGCCTGACGGACCAAACTTGTGGAATGTACACTTAGTGACTCTAGGGAACACTGCAACCATTGGGTCTGTGCGGTTCTCCTGGTCCTGCTGAGAGAACTTGATAACATCTGTGCCGTAAGTGAAGAACGCTCCTCCGAGGAACGCGTCAATCATGAACATGTTGGCAATCTGGACATACAAAACTGTGTTACGATAAAGTTGGATTACCAAGTGTACAGTTATGACAGCAGCTAAAGGTTTTATTCATTTGCCCGTTTCTGCGGAGGAACAACATTTTCTTACTAGGCAATGGAATATGAACCCTTAATGGCCTCAACTGACCTGAATTATCTATGGATCCCAAATGACAGCGTAGGAGTAAAGGAATAGTGAAAGTCTACATTACTCCAAGTACTGAATTACTGGACTGATGGACCAACATAAAATAGAGAGTAGTGTTGTTTAAGGTAAATATCATTTAAGTATGATTGTATCTATGTCGGGAAAGCTTCTTACTGATTAAAACCAGCTGATTTCTAATTCAGAACGAATCCATCACGTTAATTCCGTAGTTATCGTCAAAAACGATTAACACATGAATAATAGCCACGAATAATGAATAGTAGCAGTATTACTTATCAGATATCTTAAGATGAGATTACTTTGGAATTGTACTCTGTCCCTAGAAACATGATAAGATTGTTCTAAATATCTCTGACTTTAGTAAACAGAACCTATGGCCTATTACGTGTTGAGAGAATTGGAAGCATTTGTCACATTTGAGTTTTTGCTATTATATAAAGTGTCCTGTACGTGTTTCCATATTGAAAAATAAACTAAAAAAATAACTATAAACTAGAATGTAGTGTTGAAAAAAATTCAGTTGATACAATAGAAAAAAGATTTTAACTAAAAGCTTAGATCAGTATTATTGTAAATATATTGCTTTACAAATACAGTATTAACAATGGATTCAAGATTTATTTGTTCCATTTCCATTATACGCTGTTCTGGCAACAATAATATTAAAATATTGATCAATACATATTACTGCAGATATAAAAAATGTTAAAATGTATTAGAATATTTAGTCTAACTTTTAGTTTTTAATTTTAAAATGTACTTAGGTCTAGTAGAATTAACTAAGTTTTAAAGATAAAGCTTCATGGATGAGTAAATGATATAAAAGCTCGAACTTGCATTTAAGTATTTTTCTTTAACCAAAATGTATCCCTAATCGTATGTGTTTTACAATTTGTTGGGATTTGAGTACAGATATGAACAGTTTGTCAATAATTTACAATGATTGTTCCTATTCAGCAGCAGATTTATATTTTGTAAACAGAAGTCTGTGTTACTGTGGTAACAAGATGGTGGTCCATTGAACCAATCCTGTGAGCTGATTGGTTCAAGGTCACACAGTCAGTGAGAAGCAACTTTCTAAAGCCTTCGCCAATGTTCTGCAGCAAACCCTGCTCCTTCATAGGAATTTTTCCCATGGCAATCGCTCAGGTCAATTATTGAGAACTATCAATATATTCAAATTGATTACTGTTCAATTAATTTGTTTTCTTCTTCAGTAAGTGATCACAAATTGTATTTTCAATTTGGTGTTCAAAAATATTTATGAATGTTTCAAATGAAAAGTGAACCACAATTTCATCAGCAGTTTACATTAAAATGTTGAATGTGAATTCCAAACAATTACAAACAAAAAGCAATCAAATTACATAATAATTTATGTGCTCAGCTTTAGGTTTTTGTAACCCAAAACCAGCAACTGTGAAAGGCCTGACAAATTTAAGTAGATAGAAGTTTGAGTTGCTACTCTTAATTGACTGGGATTAGAGTTCAAAGTCATTACATTCCACAGACTGTTAGATTACACTGGTAAATGTTTGTTGTCATGTGTTATCATTAACTGAAAAAAGCCTTGTACAATGTAGAGTGCTGCCTCAGATAGTTACACTGTCTGCTACAGTTTGAAAAATATTAAAGTGCAGATATCATGTACTGTTGTTTTGTAAAATGGATGTAAAATACGTTCAAAGTTCCATTACTTCTTAATTTACATCATTTGGCTTCTGTATGGGTTGCATATGTCTTTGTATAAATATTTAGGTGTTTGTGTTCTACAACATAATAACATATAATTTGCAGATTACAGGTTTGCACCTTGTAACAAATTTGGTTGAAATAATTTAAACTAATCTGATTTAGTAATTTCACTCAAGTAAATCAATCTTTTGGTGTAAGAATTCAATATGTTACGTATTACTTATTGGATTTGTTAGAATTTTGTTCAAAATATAAAAAGTCTGTCTCCTCTACACAATGCAAAGAGAATCACACTGAGCTAGTTTAATTAAATGTCTACAGACAGCTTTTATATCCAAAGGTATCATAGTCTGTTAATTGATATTTTGTCTTTAGGGCTTTGCCGTTGGTCTCTATATTTTTAGATGGGGCTTTGAGAAGTACATAGTATTGTTGTTCATTGTAACTAAATACTAATGTTTACATCTGTTGTTTATATTTCTCAAAGGTACTACAAAGGTACTCAAAGGTACGTTGCTGTTAAACGGCTAGTAAAAATTATATGATAGAATACACATTTATTTTTTTGGGATACCAAAATTATTGAAGTATGTGAAGTACCTCTACAGGAAACCTTTACAGTTTCAGACTTAAGAATGTAAAATATCAAGATTCTTATTCGTCAATTGAGGAATGATCAGTTGTACTCACGACGTTGAGAAAGTTAAGAGCTTCGCACACAAAGTAGCCGCTGGCGTAGACGTTGTGCATGTGTAGAGTGTCAATGAAGTATTGGACCAGCCTGCTGAGTCTGTCTCTACGATCCTCCTTGGGCCCCACAATGGCTCCTCGGATGCCGTCAGTGATCATCCGGATCTTCCCCTCCTCCCAAGTCTTCCAGACCCAGTGGGGGATGTAGAACAGGACACCCTAAGACAAAAGGAGTGATGTAGTGTGGGATTCAAGTTTTACGTATCAATGAAAAGTACTTCTCAACTTTGGCGGTCAGCTGTTTTAGTAGGTTTTTCAAGACGAAGTCTTGGGTTGACTATAATACCTTTTGTGTGATATCGTAATGCCTTTATCTTTGTGTAAAATTAAAAAAGAAATTCCAGTGTTGTCACATAAATGTGTCATACTGGATATATTTCTTTTGACATACTATTATACTTCAACCAGGGTGAATAGATTGAAGAGAAGGTGAGTGAAGGACGAATATTAAAAAAAACCCAAAGATAGTCTCGTTACTGACTAATATCAGTTGATTCTTGAACCAGAGTTTCAATAAAAGCCAACCGTCAAGGGCTGTAGAATCAATTTTTAAACTTCAAAAGTCCTTTATGCTTTTCTCAGGATTGGCTCAGTAACTGTCTTGTTGTAGGTTTTATAAGTGAATTCAGCACCCAAAGTAACAGGAAATTTTGAAAATAGAATGACTGCCTCTTCTACAAGCTTTATCTAAACTCAGTATTGCATTTGATTGATATTGCTTATGCAAGTAAAAAGCAGATGATTAACAAGAGTACTTCCTGGTCAGTTATAACCCACCAATTAAGGTGAGAATACAACTGGGTAAATATAAACACAAGAAGAGTATGGCTAATATGCCTTTTGTAGATTTTTTACCAAGAATAACTGAAAGGTGTTAAATTTTTGTCCCGACGATCCAGTTACAAAACGTATTTGGACTTAATTACTTTTAAATGGAATAATCTTTACCTGGAAGAACAGCATGAACGGGACCCACTGGTAGTATGAGTGGTAGCGGGTCTCGTCCTCACCCTGTACAAAGTCCCCGACACCAGGATGTGCTACGTGGGTGCCGACAGGCTTCCCTTGTTGGTGCGGCAGTGTGAACGTGTGCGTAATCCAACAGTAAGTGTTGATGACATGGCCTGGGACTGCACCATCCGTGATACAGGCTATTGGGTCTCCTGCAACAGAAGATCAATTCAGGACCAATGTGGGAAGTAGAATTGGGGTTGAAAATAAGCGATAAAATGAATATTTGGTTTTCAAGTGGTCCAGAAATGTTAGAATGGTATATGAGAATTAAGGATTCTAAAGATTGATTTACAAAATTATGATTTCTGGTGAGTAAAACAACAGCAGAAAATACATTCATGAACTGGTTCTTAGTGCTGAAATTGAAAATGATTATGATATTCCTGATGCTGCTTACCTATTAGATTGTTGGCTGTTACGAGTACACAGGATACAAAGAGGATCGCACTCGTCACTCTATAGTGGAACCTGAACACCATGTTGTCTATGATGGCTTTGTCCATCAGGTAGCGGACTTTGACGAAGCCCGCCACCGATGACGCCATTGCAAACACCGACATCGTGGATTAGTTTCTGGAAAATAAAAATATATTGATAAAAAGATACCTATCCAAAAGAATTTAAAGGACAGAATTTGTAATTCAGTAGAGAAAAGTACTTCTGGTCTAAAAGTAATGTTATTGTTTTCTAGAGAGCTTGCGATTGGCTTTGAACCAGAGAGCCTCGGCATTATCCCACAGCTAAAAGTCATTGGGGATTGGTGAGATTTGAACCCAGGTCCGTTGGACCAAAGTTCTGAACCACTATAACAAATAGCTGTGTCCCATAATATGCATAAAGAGTAGTTTTGGAGGAGTAAATCATTGCAAAGAGCATTTTGTTTGATAGAAAACCAGAACGGAAAATGAGATGTTGAATATTTGTTATCGTAAAAAAATCAAAGAACCTGAGTTCACATCTTAGAGGACTCTTCCATTCCAATTAACTGTTTTTGAATGCTGTGCAGGAATGAGGTAATGTGTACCGTAGTAATTTAAAACTGCAAGTTCTACTGTTTACGATCTCAATATGGATCAATTGATAGGTTTACTGATTTAATTAAAATTAAAATACTGTTTTTTTTACAAGAATTTATCCATTTGAGGTATGATGTAATCTATGTAATTAATAACAATTATCAACATTACCGGTAACTGATCCTAAACATTACAAAACTTTTCAAGTTTTCTGCTAAAATACACACTTACAGTTCTACACACTTCTAAAACACACAACAAGAATTTCCTTTGTAAAAACTCAGATTAAATAACAATAAAAATAAAAATTGTGAGTCAATAATCTTCCAAAAACAGCATTAACATTGCTTAATTTAAGTTTTAACACTGGAAAAAACACAAGCAACAAAGTAAACACAAAAAATTTTTATTCATTCGTTTACTTAGATGAAATCATGAATTATCTGACAATTTATTTAGTTGAAAACAGCTGATTTTACAAAATCTTTATTGCTCTCCATTGTTGCTACCGTTTGTTGCCATTAGTTAAATAAATTAAATATCTCACTGCCAATTATTTATTCGAGGTGTTTGGGCCATCTTTAAACAAGTTTGTGATTCCTTCATACAAAATTGCCATTTCAGTTTTCACTATATATAGAACGAAAAATACCATGATAAACCGTATATTTTCCCAGTCTTAGTAAGGTTTTTATTGTATTTCAATCTTATTTTATTAAACTGCGCTGAACAACTTTAGTTACCAACCAATGATATCATTGGGCTTATGTTTAATGTTCGCTGAATAAGCAAAACTCATTCAGTAAACACCAGCGCTTCCTTAACCATAGAAGTAGGGAAAATAGTGTACTAGTCCTGATTCTACCCTACCGTATTCTACAGAGCAGATCAACTCATGTTACCTCCCAGTTATCCAGTAATGAGTTTCTTCGGACACACTATCACACACCACCCAAACTATCACTACACACAGCTATATTGTGGACCCGCTGGTGGCTGAGTGGCGAGTGGTGGCCAGGCACCAGGTATGTGTCCTTGGAAAGACCGGCTCCGACTGCTGCCTAGTGCCTGCACTCGGTGAATCAGACAGCAGCCGAGACAAAGACCCACTCTGAGGGTATTGACTCCGTATCTACCTGCTTCCAACCCTTATACACTAGGTTAGTAGCAGAGTTGCTCAAAAACGAACTGGTTCTTCCTCATTGGTGTGTTATGTTCATTGTTGATCTTGGCATAAGGAATCAGCTGATTGTTGTACATGGGTTTCGTAGATTTGTTGAGTCATCAATTATGAGTAATTTTTCACTAAAGTTGCAGATTCAAGTTCATGCTCAAACATCCCATAAGTTTTGTTAGTAGTTTCCTAGATCAATAGAATATTACTATTGTTGATCTTTTGTCTTGAATGTATCAGCTGATCGTTTTCCCAAGTTTTCGTATTGTAGATTTCTCAGGTTGTCCAATCTAGGTACTACTGTATTTCGTAAAGAAACGGTAATGTATTACTCTACCCTACCCTCTCCCATTCCCATTCTCTAAGACTAGGTTATTAGTTGCATAGCGAAAACGTCGTTTGAAACCTGTTTACTGGCCATTTTTTCTTTCTTTGCTGCTGTTTGAAAAATTTGAGGAATATTTTATTTGGTCTCAGGGTTTCTCGCGTCATTCAATGAATTTGAATTTTTTTACCTAGGAAGAATGAGCAAACTTGAATTTTTCGTAATCGTGAATGGCCATCCGAACGGATTTTAGTTAAAAAAAAACCTGTACTACTGAGTTTTTTGGGGGATATGTAATTGCAATACACTGTAGATAATTATGATCCTTTGCTTCCCTAGTTCGACAATTTATTCTATATCACCTTAACCACGGTACAATGTTTTTCTACGACTGTATGATTCCATGACCAAATGACACAGTGTTATGGTCGTGTTAGTGATGCCTGGACACCATTGGCGCATTGATGTACCGAAGGACGCCCTCGATCACAATAGATGAGGTGCACGCCTGTTATCCAGTGAACAGAGGCTTCCATTCAACGCGAGGCTGAAAGCTGTCCACTATTCTGTAACTAGGGCGTCCACAGGAATCACTTTCTATCCTGGGAGGAGAGGAATTAGTATTATCATTTATAAACACATAGCATTATGTTATCCTATGATAAATTCGCTAATGGGGTTATACGGGTGTTTAGTACGTGTAGATAAAGATATTTATTTGTCGCCTAGGTCCACTCCAAAAGACCTGAGAGCCATTTAATGTGGTAGGATGGTGAATTATTATGTAGTTTCAGTTACGTTATTATTACGTAGCGTACTCGTATTAGTTTTGTGTACATGATTTATAAGTAAGTTTTAGATATCGTTGACAACGAGTGCCCAGTACGTAACTCGGTACTAGTGTGGTCGAAGTGTCGTCCAATGCTTGAGAATTGCACGATCACTGTGAACGAGAATCTATTCAGTTTTCCAACCGTATCAATCTATTGTCCCTCGTCGATAACTGAAGACAATGTTATTTGTTCTTGAGAATGTATACTATATTATCTGCTTATCTTCAAGATAAGGTTTTGTAAACAGCGCTACCGTATTCAAACAAAACTAGTGACACAATTTCTGACTTTAGCTTTCCTCAGATTGTAAAATGCTGCAGGATAATCGACATTCTCTGCTTTGAAGTTTGCTTGTATAGAATTGCACCTCTGAAGTGTGAAGTTGAAGTGCAATGCGGTGTCGCCGTGCGGTGAAGCACGCAAGGTTCGTTAAAAGTCACATCGCACATGGCCTGTCTGTGGATTGGCAGGCATTGTCGTGGAGCTGCCGGTTGCTCATGACTACCAAGTAGGGACTATCCTACTCTACTTGGGAAGTGCCAAGTCGTAGTTTGAAGACTAAAAAGTCGTATTTTTACATCTTTGGACTGGTGTTACAGGTAGAAGGGTTGTTGATGTTGCCAGATAGAAGGGTTGTTGACGTTGACGGGTAGACCTAGACGGCTTGACGGTTGTCACGTTGGTTGACACAGCGCGGTGACCGCGGCCGCTGACCACAGACCAGGTCCAAGTAGGACGACCGTATTGGGTTGCGCAAGCGAGTCGAGGAAATCTCAACGTTTAGGCCGAGTTAGTGGCTTCGGGCTATGATATAATTATGTTCTTGCGTTTCTGTTGGCCCAAAAGATAATCCCTAAAACAGTGGAAACCCCTGTACATGGCATCTAAATAAATTTTAAATTGTGCAGCAAAAAAACAAGTTAATTCGCCCAGCGTCACACATTTTCCATCGATGTCTTCCAGAATTCGAAACCCTCTTACGTAAAACTGTACGTTCGAACTGTGCACAGAGAAGTTCGAATTCGAACATTATTTAGTCTTTAGTCACTTGTTAGGACTGTTCTTTGGTGTGTCAGGATCAACCATATTATGGTCGATTGTTGAGGTTTCCATATAGACAAAAAACTCGTCAATCGTTTGAAAGCGTTTAATGAATCACTACACACATTTGTGATCTCAAAAATTAATTCCTAAATTATCATTTTGGCGACTTGAAAAACGTAATTATATGTTTGGTGATCCATTCTAATTCCAAGGAAGTTTGAAATGCTTTTCAAACTGTCTGGACTGTATGGGGCACAGTTTAAGTCGTTGGCTGCATATCTTGGACGACAACGTTGTCAGCTATGTAATGTGTCTTGTAATGGCTAGATTGATTGATCCCGTAACGGTCTGGCGCGGCCGTTTGTCCGTGTCTGATATGTACCTTATGTGGGTCTGTCCATAAACTGTCTTGTGTTTTACTGCCAGTGGCATAATAATGGCAGAGGTCGCGGCTGGTATAATGGTTGGAGGGTGGACTTCTGCCTTGAAAGTTCCGGAATAAGATATTGCTAATTAGTAATTACCAATGCATTTTAGCTATATTTGGTTGGTTTTCCGTGGATCAGTTCTTCGGGGCTCATTGTTAAATAGTTGCACCTAACGAATAAAAATTGATGGGGGGCTTCTTAAGAAGGAAAACCGTTTATGTATTGAAATTCGATGAGAATCTATACGACAACTTTATTGCTTTAGTAATGGCAGTGAGGAGTGGATTTCGTGAAAAATAACTTGTATTTGTATTGCAAAACAAACCGAGCACACTTTTTACTCTATAGTAACATGATTGCGGATTAAGTGCTCGATCGCTACGTTTGTGCCCTATAATTCATTATTAATCAATACAAAAAGTGGGGGTTTTACCGGTTGCAGTCGAGGCGAGCTCTAATATTGAGGCATACTACAAATAATACCCACCAAGGCCACTTGATCGCTAGTCATCCTGCGTTATGGCTCTTTGTCTTGCACCTGCACGTTGCACTCTGCAGTCAAGCAGACTATCGGTGAGGTGATGGTAATATTACAGGTACACTGATGCAACACGGCTACAACTCACTCTCCATCTCGGTAGATGTTTTGTATCCGACTTGGTTACGTGTTAATGTGCTATCTGTCACGTCAAGTCCAGACATTCACATGTAGATTGTGATTAGGGTGCAAACTTCTCGGAAAGTGTGATAATT